AACACCCAGACCAAATCAAACATCAAATGTTCATGCACACAAATGTTTGGCTTTAAATAAATATATATTTACTGTTATCCAAACTAAACGTGTTTTTGGATTCAGAATAATCGGTTGATAATGATAATCGGATTCAGAATAACTGCTTTTTAAATTAAGTAGCAAGTTTGCACTGAAAAAAAAACATATTTGCAAGGTAAACAAGGTAAAATCTTGGAAATATTTTAAGCAAATATACTTTATACAAATTAAATAAATATAAGTAAGGATTTCAGCAAGTGACAATTTTTTTAACTTAACTGTTCTCACATCCTGTTTCTGTACTCTTAAAAGTAAAGGAATCATAATATTAAAGTTCTCAATTATGTAGGTATACGTTCGGCAATAACGTATTATCACAGGCTGACTTAATGGCTACATGTGACCACGGTAGGCGCAAGCTGATGGTCACTTCTCGTAATAAAAATTCTTTCAAAATTTAGTTCTACTAGCTACTCTCACTACGAGAATGCCTTTTATGACACAATCGAAATCGTAGATCGAAATTGAATTTTGAACAAATTTTGACGTGACAACGTCTTATAAATTGGTTTGCCGGGTGACACTTCAAGAAACTGCGTTACGCTCCGCTCACGTTATGCGCTCACAATGAGAGCGAGTGAGAGGTACGCGTCCCTTCCAATCGGGCATGGTTAGCCCGCCTAAGAGCGAGAGAGACAGACATAGTCGTTGTCACGTAAAACTTTCGCCCGTATACCGACTTTACAGGCAACCAATTTTTTTTATTACGAGAATATACCTTCTGATCAAAATGTCACGCTGTCAGGGATTATAAAGACATGTATACGTTTACGTTCACTTATTTGCGTTAATTATAAAGTATAGTAAAAAGTATCACCAAGTTCAATACATCTATACCATAAAACTGTACTTTTTATTCCTACCATTTCCACCCTTAGGGGTAGTGTTTTTTTTCAAAGGACCCCAGGAATGCCCATCTCTCATACATCGTTTAGCCCAAATCCTGATAAACCGATACAAGTTCCAAACTAGGGTCATTAGCAAGGGAAAAACATGCACTTTAAACTGTCATAGTTTTATTTTAATTGGTAATTGCATAATCAAGAAATATGACCTTAAATCTATGGTACGAGTAGGTTATGTTGTTTGCGAAATATTTTTTGCACAAAGCAGTAAAGTAAAGCCGTACTGCAATCCTAGTCGTTAAAAAATCACCAGAAGGCTGCAACACAAAAACAGAAATCCAGAAAAACTTTGCCATTTTATCAATTTCCCGGTGTAATGTATGATTTTGGCAAAATTACGAATATTTTTATTTAACAACTGTAAATTAAAATTATTTCTTGTGTTTTTGGATTGATATAAAATATCATTTTCTCCCCAAAAGTAGGCGTTTACCCTATTGAATGGAATTCTTAATCAAAAAAATAAAACCATAATTGTAAGAGTTTAATGGTAACAAACATAAATATGTTAATATTTATGAAAATATAAAAGCTAATATTTCAGTACTTATAGTTATATTAACCAAAATATAGTTTCAATCGATTTGTTACAGCAGCCATCTTGAATTGACGACGTCACATAGTAAACTATCCGCAAATAGAGGTCGACCTCGCAGCTCTACATATTTATACTGTTACTTAGGCATATTCATATTGGTTTTACGAACCTTGTATACCAAAGCGTATTTGTACTAGTTATTTTATACCATAGATAACTAAATATTGGCCAAGAACAACATTGTCTATGGCCGGGAGTTATATTTACTATCATTACCTGAACCTAACTTCTTAACTGATATTTAAAAAACGAAGGTAAAACTTTGTTTTTTTGTGCTTATTACTTCATCCTCTTTATTACTCAACTGTAAGTTATGAAATTTTGAATATAATCCATACTTATATATCTTGAAAGTGAGTTTATTTGTTACGACGTCACGCTAAACCGATATTAAACACTCTTTTAGAAATGGAAAGGAATAAAATGAAAACCTTCATTATCAGCGAGTAATAGTTCATAGTAACATATTTTACCGCGATAATTAGCTAATAATAATAATATTTTCGGACAACTTTCACACAACGCCATCTAGTTTCAAACTAAGCAGAGCTTTTACTATGAAAGCTAGATTGACCGATAGAATACTAATTTAATTTTTTTTTATGTAAGCACAAACATATTATACATAAAAAAACCCCAACCCTGAAACATATATTTGCAGATCATACAAACATTTGGTCCGACCCGGGAATCGAACCCGAGACCTCAGTACAGCTGTTAGAGATCTTGCTAAGCTTAACGTCCACTCAGGAAAAATATTATGGTAATGATGATTGTTTTTGATTGTGTATTGTGTATTTGAGCTCCGGTAGCTTCGCTCAATCGGCGAAAAACAACAATAAAACCACTTAATACCGGTTTTCTGTGTGACTGTGGTATAACTCCGGTTGAGACAACACATTTCTACCGAAACATCTGCCACTTTCAATGCTATATTCAATACTAGCTTTTGCCCGCGGCTCCGTCCTCGTAAATGTCAGTTATCGAGGTAAAATATTAGCCCATGTATTTCCTCAAGAACCAAGGTATCTCCATACTAAACTTCATCTAAATCGGTTTAGCGGTTATTGATTCCCTACACAAACTTCCACCCGAATTTTCACCCCCCTTAAAGGGCGATTCCTGGAATAAAACTACCCTATGTAATTTCCCGGGACTCTGACTATCACTATGCCAAAATTTCATCAAAATCGGTTCAGCGGTTTAAGCGCGAAGAAGTAACAGACAGATAGACAGATAGACACACTTTCGTATGAAAATGTGACTCAAAGTATCAACCCTTGCAATATAGAGGTTACTAACCCTGTAACAGGCCGTGGAAAGTTTTACTAATTTGATGGAAGTGGAAAAATTCCTGACAACCTTTTGCGTACGTAAGGAGTATTTGAGTAGAACCATGCTGTGTCGATCGATAACAGTTATTACGTGACATACATTTTAGCATTAGGAATACATCCTGTGTCGCAGGGGACTTTACAAACATACATGATACGAGCACGAAGAACACCCAGACTCAGAACAACAATTTGTGGATCACACAAAGTGTCGTCCCATGTGGGGATCGAACCCTCAACACTCAGCGTATTAGTAAGCGGCGTGGCGACCGCTTAAACCACTACGCCATCCGTGCAGTCGAGTGCAATTGTCAGATAGGTATATCTGATAGGTATATATGTCATATGTGGTCTGTGTGGTGAGGGATTAGACTACAGGGTGTCACCACTCGTCCACGGCGTACTCAATCGTCGTATTAAGCGCTGGGCTTTGGACTAATTTACGTTTTCGTGGAATTTCAGTATTACAAAGCAAATACTATTTACGAATACAATTAGTTCTGGGTTGTTTCATTTATTTATGAGGCCTGAGCCACGAGTGTGTTACAATGTTGCCATGTAAAACTAGAAATAGATATTTATACATTTTCCTTAAGTTGATTTAGTATGTTAAAATTGCCATTATTACAAAAATCCCTGCTGCGTCTGTTTATCTTGCTTCCTCCGGAATAGGACCAGGTTCGGCGTGGCGTTGCCGCGTCAATTCCGGGGAACCTGAAATTACATGGTCCGGTACTTCCGCAGAGATATTCCTGTGTCTCCAAGGAGCCGGAGTTCTGAAGAGATTTCCCACCCTGTCACCACCACCGTGTACTTGGTGTTGAGGTTCTGATCACATGAAATCAGCGATTGACATTCCAACGACACATGCGTACAACATCACATATCTATACATAGGGGCTTAAGCAGTCACCTGACAGTTTCCCACTGCGCTGAGTGTTGTGGGTTCAATCCCTGCATGGGACAACACTTTTTGTTATCCGGAAATTGTTGTTTTGAGTCTGGGTGCTCTTCGAATGAATATTTCTTTTCCCCGCTACACGGGACATGTTCCTACTGCGGGCATTGTCTTTTTTATTTAATTTAAAGAACATCTCCCGCATCAGGAACTTTACAAACATACCTCAAACGGACACAGAGAATTTAAATAAACGAAAAAATAACACAGTTAAAAGTAGCTTGAAATTGACTTCCATTATTTGTTTACATAATACGAGTGAAGTTAATAAAATCTTCTTAAAATACTGTTTCCAATGAGCAATACTTGTATTTATTTAACGATTTTATCTTTACTATAAAGCAATTTTGATACGCAAATGAACTAGTGCTGCTATGCATTTGTAAACAAATATTGAATAAGCTGCTGCTAGCCGTTTCCGAAATAGCATTACGCGAAATTGGTCACGGTTTGTTTACATTTATGTATACACGTCACTACACTAGCTACGGTGTTAGAGGAAAGTAGGTATTAAAATTATTACAGTACGTAATATACTCCGGTTTGAAAATTTAACAAATCTCAACAAGTAATATTTCAATACTGAAATCACAAATTTAAGTGGCGTTATCACTGAACGATTAGTTGTAATGTTGTAAAATTTAAAGCGACTACTTTTTTTAGTTTAAAAACCTATTGAGATAGTTATAATAAAATTAATTGACAAGCTAAATTATATTGATGGGCAAAAAAAACCTATCTGCTTAAAAGTGACCCTATATTTAAAATTTACACCCGCCGGTTTTAATTTTTAAAAATTTCATTTATCCAGTGGTGGTGGTAAATGAAAATTATAATATAATATCTCAAACATCTCACACACGGCCGTCTGATCCCAAACTAGGCAGAGCCTGTGCTATGGTAACCAGACTGCTGATAAACATTCTTACATATTTTTAAATACATACATATAATAGATAAATTACACCCAGACATAGAACAAATGACCGTGCTCATCACACAATATTTGTCCTGGGTGGGAATCGAACCCACAACCTCTGGATTAGCAGTCAGGGTCACTAACCACTAGATCAACACACGAATAGTTAAATCGTCCCGAACATTACTGTTTATTTTATTTCCAGGTGTGATCGGTCTCATTTACCTGGTGATGTACATCTGTATCATCATCTTCTTCTCTATCTGCATGACTGGACTGATGGCTACTATGGACGAGAAGATACCGTACTTCACGCTAGCTGACTCCATCATAGGTAATATCCCTAATCATCATCATCTCTCTACCCTTTCTTCTCTTCTTCTTTCTTGAGTTTTCTTCTTCCATTCCGCTCCTTCATTGCATTAAAAATTTTAGCTTTTTCTTTTATGACCTGCCTGACGCCAAGCCTCCTTGGGGATGTAATCCTATTCCGTACATAGTATAAATCGAAAGATATTTGGGAATTCCAAACACTCAGGGATTTTCCTATTGTCAAACCATCCTGCACGGATGGCGTAGTAGTTTAAGGGTTCGATCCCCACATGGTACATCACTTTGCACAAATTGTTGTCCTGAGTCTGGGTGTTCTTTGTGATCGTTTCATCTGTATTTGTAAAATCTCGCACAACCAAGGATTATATTCCTAGGCGGGAGTTGTCTTTTTTTTAAAAGGACTTCACACTCCTTTTCCAGAAAAAGGGCTGTGAAGTTACTGGCAGGCAATTTCTATACTAATATTACAAATGTAAAAGTAGGTCCATATATATATTTTACTGATCAACATCATGGTGGTGGTGGTGAGGATCGGTTTGTTGCTTTCCTTTTTGTTATCCTCCAAAATCTTTCTTATTCTCGAATGTACTAAATATATAATACAAACTTTTGCAGGTGCGAACCCAGGCATGGGCCATAGACCTCTATTATTCGAAGAAGGAGCCCTCATCTGGTACAATGCCACCAATTCCACACACGTCCAGAAGTATGTGGACAATATCAACGACTTTTTGGCTCGTAAGTATCAACACAGTTATCTAAACGAACTTGGATCAACAAAAATAATTTTGGGACCTGAAAAAAAATACAACATGTGATACAAAAACGATTAGGCAACTGTTGTCTTTGTAGTGACGGATTAAGAATACAGAATGTCGCCACCCCTATTCATCCCATGAGTGTCGTAAGAGACGACTAAGGGAACAAACTACGTAGGACAATAGCACTGCAGAGAGAAGGAAACTTGACACAAACCCTATACCAACCCGTCTGGCCAGCGTGGTATTATAGGCCAAAATCTCATTTCTAAGGTAGGCTTATGTCTGCCAGTGGACTAGTAAAGGTCGTTGATGATAATGATGATGATAGGCAAGTCTTATTTTTCCATTTTGTTTTAAATGTAAACAAAAGAAAAACGTAATAAAAATGATGATAGTTTAAGATAAAAGAAAAACAGCTGGAGTTTTAAAAATCTATACAAAAAAGGGTCAGTTGGTAATTTCGAATTCGTTTCAAATGACGAAGTGAATTTAATAGATAAAAAATTCGATTATCCTCCCACTAATCACAATCTGTTGAATTTGTCATCACTGAAGCGTTGTACTATCCATCTCTAAATATACAATAATTATCATCCAAGCTATATATATATTAGTAAAAAACTACATTTCGATACGACAATAATTTGAAGGTTAAAATATTTAAGATTTGTTACATAGCTAGGCATAATTAAAGCAACTAAAAGCATGATAATGACAAGCTAAAAAAAAGACAGAACAGCCGAGTGCATTCCAATTTACAAACCACTGGTTTTAATTTTTATTATCCCTGTCACATACAATTAAGATGAATCCAACGACACCTCAAACACCATCAACCCATCAAGTCCATCAACCCGTTTAGGCCTACACAGCGTGCCAAAGAAAAATTCATACGCCTATCCACTCAAAAACCATAACCCACCTTCTGGCGATGGGTAAATCGTGTTCAAACATGGGTCATGACAAATAATTATTCTTTTTATCCTGGTTTCAGCATATAATAACAAAACCTTGTTGATTAACAAGGGTGTGAATCAGCGTGATTGCAAAGGCGTTAAACCGCCACGAGGTGAGGTTTGCAGCTTCAACACGACGCTATTTGGACCTTGCTCGGAGGAGAACGGTTATGGATACGCGAATCAAACGCCGTGTCTCATCGTCAAATTGAATAGGGTGAGTCACGATTATTCTTTAAGGCAGAGGGGTTACTTGATGGAGAGTAATTACCGTTGCCCATTTTAAATACCATAAAATACCAAAAACAGTTTAAATATTTTTTGTCTGTCTGTTTGTTTCGGGTAATCTTGAAAACGTCTGGACCAATTTTGATAATATTTTACTATCAGGTAGCTGTCTATATAAGAAGTAACTTAGGCTATTTTTCCTCTCAACCCTGTAAAATTTTGCTCGGTCCGGGAACCGAAAACGAGGTCTCATGGAATGCAGTCGCGTATCGTACTACACCACTAAGCACAGATTACCCCCTAAGATAAGGGGGTAATCTGTGCCACTAAGGCAGCGCTTTTTAAATTCCACGCGAAGCGTCAATTTAGGTTACGTAGTACAAGCTCTGCTTAGATTGAAACTAGATGGCGTTGTGTGTTAGATGTCCGAGAAATTATTATATAAAAGGGAAAACATTTCTTATGTGTTTTAGAGAAGGTATAAGCAGTTTATTTAGGTTCTCTTGAAAATCTTGCATTTGAGCTGTTACCCACTTTTTACAGTTGATTTGAGTGTGACGGATGCTAAGGTTCAGCTCACATTGAATGCTGTGGAGCCAAATGAGTCCTCTTTCGAATTCATTTCTTCATGCTGTCGATATCACGTCACAAAATAGAAAATAAATTTGAAAAAAGCGTTGGGTGCCTGTTGTCAATAGTAAAAAGCACCCCACGCTTTTTTTCAAATTTATTTTCTATTTTTTAGTTTGGTTTTCTATAGAAAACGTGTTTTTTAGTTTTTTTAAACTATATTTTTTTTACTTTATTTTTAAATTTGTGTATTGTCATCGGCCCTCGATTTATCTACAAAGTTTGAACGAATTCTGACCGTTTAAAGTCAGTCAAAATCACGCCCAAAGGGGTCGGTTACAAACATACAAACAAACATACAAGTGAAGCTAATATAAAGCGTGTAAAAAGTAAATAATTTTATCTTTATTTTACAGTTATATGATTTTATTCCCGACTTCTATGACGATCCCGGAGACTTACCAAGTGATATGCCACCTGACATCAAAGAATACATCGTCAACGCTACTGCACAAGAAGTGAGTATATTATATACATTGTACTAGCTGACCCGGAAAACGTTGTTTTGCTATATACATTATTTCTAGGCAATATTGAAAAAAAAAATTAGGGGTGGGTCACCCTTGTCATTTACGGGTATGAAAAATAGATGTTGGCCGATTCTTAGACCTACCCGATGTGCACACAAAATTTCATAAAAATCGGTCCAGACGTTTCGGAGGAGTATGGTAACTAACATTGTGACACGAGAATTTTATATTTAAGATATACATATAAATATACATCGTGGGTTACGCTTGTTAGAAAACCATAATCTCAACAATAGAGTTCGCTTTGATGAAATGTTTATGATGACCAGAACGATTGAGCAAGCCAACTCTAAGCATGAAGTACGAGTAAGCGTTACTTCAAAATAGATAATAATTAATTTAAAAAAACATGTGCGACTCGGGACGCCCGACAGAAGTGATAAATTAAACTAATCTAAGTTGAACTATTTAATATTGAAATTGTTCAACTTGAGATAAGCTTAGGTTATCACTTAAATTTTATGTAAAGCGTCTGTCCGAAATACGGCTAGTGCTGTGGGTTAGAGTGAGAGAGGAGGAGCCTGCTTACCGCTGCCGTATGCGTGAGAGAAAGGAAAGCCAGACAGACTGGCACCGTAACGCGTTACGTAACGAAGCGGTTTACCGTCCCATAAGAATTTATCACTTCAAAAACATTGAATTGCACGCGCCAAAAAAAACATGACAAATTACAATAAGGTTATTTTTATACAATCAATTAAACTAAAAAAATAGAATTATCCATATCGACTTCAAATTGCGAAGATATCACGTAACGTTCCACAAAACAAAATATTATAACGTTTTATTCGAACGTTTGTTAAAAAGCTTTAAAATAATACTAAAGTTCAAAGAACAAAGTATTGGGATATCCTCCATTAGTCCCTTTAACTAGACCAGCGTGCCAGAGATTATTGGTAATTTGGTAATAGCTTATCTTTCTTTAAACTTAACAACTGTCCTTGTTTAATTATGGTTTCGTGTGTTTCTATATTACAGCGTCGTAAAGTGTGGGTATCGTGCAAGGGCGAGCGTCCAGCAGACACTGAAGCGCTGGGTAATCTCAAATACTACCCGTACCCAGGTCTCTCCGAGACATACTTCCCGTATGATAACACACCTGGCTACCTCAGCCCTTTAGTCGCAGTTCAACTGTTAAACCCTAAACGTAAGTATGAGGAGTGTCATATACCTTCTGAGTCTCTTCTGGACACTACCTATCAGCAATGTCTGTATTCCTAACGAATGTTGAAATATAAAGACTCAGATATATTAAAGCGCCTACTGTAATTATGTTGGCAAAGTTACTATATGTTTACCATGTTAAATAATGAAAAGATGTCTCTGATACGTCAAGTAACTGTCAACGTAACTAAAGTATTTATACAGTTAATTGAAAGTCTCGCATGTTATTACATGAAATGGCAGAACCAACTGACTGGTATAGAAGGCGGACGTGTTACCTGATGGGCAGTGGCAAGCGTCGCCCAGCTCGCTCGAATAGCACTGCTGTACACATGTAACTACGGTGACATAAGTGCATTGCCTTGGAATTTTAGGAAAGGGGGGAGGGGGAATCATTGCCTTGGAATTTTAGGAAAGGAGAGAGGGGGTCATCTCTCTCTCTCTCTCTCTCTCTCACTTACTCGGCAAAAAGCAACCAAGAATTGCTTAGTACTGATTTTCTGTGAGGCCGTGGTATCACTCCGGTGGAGCCGACCTATCTATACTCCCATTGTGTACAACATTAATGATTGGGCTGTTTATAATTCAAGTCGATTATTCATTCGTTTAGGAGAGAAGAAGTCAAATTACAATACTGACAGGTGCTTTAGAAGGCTGAAATATTCAAATACATTCTGACAAAAGAAAAACGTTAATTTCAATAATCAAAAATCATGTTGCACTTTTTTCTTTCCAGATAACTTTGTCCATGAAGTTTAATGAAGTTCTTTGCTAATCCTGCCTTAGAACAGGTTTGAGTGTTTTAGTTGTCATTATTTTTCCTTCTTAATCGTTTTCTTTGTTAATTTCCAGTGGGCCAGATTATAAACATCAGGTGCAGAGCGTGGGCCAGAAACATCCAGTACACAGAAAGCTTGAAGGAAAGGCTTGGCTCCACTCATTTGGAAATCATGATTGACTGAATAAGGATCTTATTGCCGTAGTGCCTTAACGGTGTCGGGGGATGGACATTCTGAATTTACACCAAATATTTCTGACAATAGTGTTTTTTTTTCACGTTTTTGAAGATAAAACAAGGAGGTTCACTGTCGGGAGCAATAAAAAATTAAACACTCTATAAACAAACACGCAACGCACGTCATTTGGCGCCTTTTACTTTGTTCATAATGTTCAGGAAAACTCATGGAAAATTCTAAACTCATCTTCAAACAAACAAAAAGTTTGAGCTTTCGAGGCGTGATCAAGGGAGGGTTTTTTGTCCCACGCATCGTCTCAGCTCATCCCAAATATGTTGGAGATGTGAGCTGCGTGCTGAACATTCAGTTATTGATAATCCGAACCGGTTTTATTGCTCTCGAGTGTATATCAACGCTTCTTCTAGTTGTAGAAAATACATGATTTTCATTTTCAACTTGCAGTTAACAATATAACATTTTATTTTACTTTGCAGAATAATTCTAAAATATTTTTGAGATTTCTCGCTCTCTGCGTGTCTTATTTTGGGTCTTCCTACTTTAATTTTTGTTTCAATTGATTTGATATTCTATTCTGAAGTTAAATTGACTAAAAAATGTTGAATTTGAGATTCTGCCATGACGCTTATTAAACATAAATAATCAGAGAAATTCCGTAACTTATTCTCATCAATTTAAATAGAATAATATTTTACTAGCTAATGAATAAAATTATCAAAAGTATCGATATTTATATAAACAATATTTGCACACTAGGAATAGTAGAATTTATCAGATAAGAAAAGTCTATATAAAACATACCATAACAAAGATATCAAAAGAGGAGAATGTTATCACTCTCTCTTGACGATAAAGAGCCGATATGTGCTGATCTTTGATCTCCATAAGCGCTGATCTTCCTTTGGGGTTTCCACACGTAAAAAATTACGTAACGGTGAGATTGCTTTACTAGAAACATGCCTGATATGGTAGCGAGATGTGTTCCGCGAGCGCCTCTCTAAACCGAAAGAGATTTAACAAAAAAATTACAACAAATATATCACTCTATGTATTCGCTTTTCGGGGCCCCCGTGACAATGAGGGCCCTGGGCACAAGCCGCGAGTGCCCTTATGGTAAAGACGGTACTGACTGGAAGAACTAGAGTCACTTGTAGTATACTCGCTTGTAATGGAACGCCGCGTGTTGTATTGAGTATCAATAAGAAATGTTGTCGTACTCTTTCATACATGTACTTAAATAGATCATAATTTACGTCATGCGAAACCATTCTTTTACTTACATCATCCTCCTTGCCCTGATCAGAAGTCCTTTGAAGAAATTATATTACTAAAAGTTAACGTGACTCCTCACACGGCTGCCGTGTTCTGTAAATGGCCTGCATTATGGTCAATAGACTGCTAATAAACATACTTATAAATCACACCCCACAGATAATGATCGTGCACACAAATATTTGTCCTAAATGGGTATCGAACCCACGACCATTGGCTAGGCAGCCAGGTTCACTAACCGGTAAAATATAAAAGTAAAAAAGAACCTTTCATGATTCACCAAAAACTAACTTCTTCTCTGGAGTAACTGGAGTCAGTTTTGCCGGGTTTTTTCCATTCCTTTATCAAGAGTAACTTTGGGCCGTATTTGGGACTTTAGTGTTAAACATTTAATAATAAAAAACATACGCAACGTTTTGTTATCTACATTTATTCAAATAAATTACAAACCAATCTCACTCATTATTTTCTACAACCACGCAAAATCTCCTTTTACAAAGTTTCACGAAGCAAAAATATATTATTAGGACAGTAATTTAATACTTTATGTTTGTGTTCATTTAACTATTTGTATATTTTATCTTTCATTTAAACATTATATGTATATAATTCGGCAATGTTGTATAATAAAATCTATCCAAGAAAATATTTATTAAATTGTTCATAAATAAGGAAAATAGTTTATTTAAAATGCAACGTCCAGGTCGAAATAATAGGCACACTATATAATTTTTAGGCAATATAAAACTCGTAATACACTAATCTACTCCAAAGATTTTAAAAATGATAAAGATATCTTTGTTTTATTAGCTATACTTTATCTGCCACAATAACAATTTTTCGTAAAATTGCATACGCAATTTTTTTTAAATTGTATTTAATATTTGCTGAGTACATTAAGGGCAAAGGCCCTTTCTAAGAATTGACTCCTTCAAAAATTCTACCTGGAGACACAAGAAAAAAGCAGGAAAGCGGCGATTGACAGTATTTCCCTTATTTAATCAGAATCAAGAATCAGTACCGCCCTGACGTGATCTACATTCACTCAAAGAAGTGTCTGATGGCTTATTCGATCATTAACTCAATATGCACTGCTCCCATGGCTTCGTGTCTGTCATACATGATGTTTCTTGCCCACGCACGACACTCCATGTTGATAAGCATACCAGCTGAAAGGATAACGACAGTGTTAAAAAATCTTCTGGAAAAAAGAATATTTCTGTTCGCACTGGTGATTAAACCCTGCAAATTATCACTGCTCACACACGGCAGTCTGATCCCAGACTACGCAGAGCTTGTACTGTGGTAACCAGACTGCTGACAAACTTACTTGAAAATTTCTAAATATGTACAATGTACATATCTATACAAATAAATAAAATTGGAGTGTCTGTTTGTAATATTAAAATAACCGCTTTTTACTAAATGCATATGTATGTTTACACGGTACATATGCCAAAATAACATTTTTTACAATTTTTGTCTGTCTGTCTGTCTGTTTGTTCCGGGTAATCTCTAGAACGGCTGGACCGATTTCGATGGGACTTTCACTGGCAGATAGCTGATGACATAAGGAGTAACTTAGGCTACTTTTTTAGACTAGCTTCGCCCAGCGGCGTAGCCCGCGGTTATAACAACAAACGCGGGTAACACCGCGGGTCTCAGCTAGTATGTTATAAAAAGCGAGTTAAGTTCGCGGCAACACCATAAGTTTTGCTAACTCAAGAATATTTTATTTTTAAGCACAAATAAATATTATTTTACTTGTCCTTCTAAGAAGAGGCCTATGTCCAGCAGTGGACTATTAAAGGCTATTGATGATGACGACCTAAATAATGACTGATCAATAGTACTTACTCTTCGGCCTCTGCAAATGAACAGCTACTAACGGACTGAGATATCCTTCCTGGTTGGTGTACGGGAAATAATATCCAGGGAACCCTTGGTACGGCATATATTGGACAGGACCGAGATTCTCCCGGTCTGCAGGATTTTCGCCTTGACATGATACCCATACCATGTTCAGCTGTAAAGGATTGTTTGGTGTTTAAAAATCAGTCAGAGTATACAGAAATTAATATAGTCTAATTTCATATTTTGACGTGTTTGACGTGACGTTGTGACGTTTTAAAATTAACAAGTAAAAGATTTTCCTCGAATTTTGTCTCTAAAATATCGCAGAGAATATTAAAACAATCTGTTTGTTTCTTAAAAAATAGTATAAATGTATTTTGCCAGGATTGAGAAGGTTTACGATACTATGTGAGAAGGCCCAGGCTGCCTAAAAACATGAGTTTAATATGAGACCCTGATCAATTAGAGTTATTAAAATAATAACAAAAATAACCTCACACATCTCACTCAGAGTCAGAGCCCAAACTAGGCAGAGCCTATACTATGGTAACCAGACTGCTGTTAAACATACCTATATATTTCTAATTAAACACATATTATAGATAAATTACACCCAGACACAGAATATATAGATCGTGCTCATCATACAATTATTTGTCCTGGGTGGGAATCGAACTCACGACCTCTTGCTTGGCAGTCAGCCTCAGTCAGGATCACTAACCACTAGACGGACAGGCCAGCCTATGCCAATATGCGCAAAACGAAGAAACATACTACAGAGCCATCTAATGAAGATACACAGAACTACGGAGTAACTGCTAATCTTGTATGGCGATATGAGTAATTAGCACGCCAATTTGCATATATACAACTTCCTAACATCAACCGCTGTGTTGCGGCCCGCCAGGCATGATCACCTCGCCTGGTCGGAGAAACATCCTCCTCCTTTGTGTTGGAGGGACATGACACCCGTTCCTCCACACATCCATAAAACTAACATTCCTTTTTCTTTAAATATTCAAAAGATTAGTCCACCATGAATTCATTTCTATATTCCCCGGCAATAAGTTTTCACCCTATGACGTAAGTAAGGAAAGTGTAGGTCTTGAAAACATCTTTTGTTACTCAATCGAGGTTATAGGTATCACTTTATTGATTTTAAATATATATTTCGTTGAGAAGTTATCCAATCAGACTGCACGTATGGCGTAGTGGTTTAAGCGGTCACCTCGCCTCTTTCTACTGCGCTGAGTGTTGTGGGTTGGACCCCCACATGGGACAACACTTTGTGTGATCCACAAATTGTTGTTCTGAGTCTGGGTGTCCTTTGTGTCCGTTTCAAGTATGTTTGTAAAGTCCCCCGCAACACAGGATTTATTCCTAGTGCGAGAGTTGTCTTTTTAAAAAAACAAAAATCCTTAAAATTGTTCATGCTTAAGTTTTACAACTGTCTGTTTGGTGACGGATTAAGATCCATCCTGTGGGTGTCGTAAGAGCCGACTAAGGCAACAAACTACGCAGGACAACAGCACTGCAAAGAGAAGGAAAACTTGTCACAAATCCTATATCAACCCGTCTGGCTAGCGTGGTATAGTACGCCAAAACCTCCACCTCCATCAAAGTCGTCAGTTATATTCCAAGTTTGTACACCAGCTATTCATCATATCGATAAAGAAGAAGAACAAGAAAATAGCTTAATTGTTCAACTTACAAAATTTTTATCAAACGCTGTCATATTCTTGATATGATCCTTTAAGTCATCGGGCATTTCCGAAGGCAGACTGTCAGAGCTGTTGTAGAACTCAGGCTTCCATCCGAAGATCTTGTTGAGCTTAAGAAAGACGCACGGCGTAGATTTATGGTAAGCAAAGTGGTTGTCTTCTACACAAGGTCCCCAAGCGCTAATATCTACATCACACACCTTACCGGCTGGAGTGGGGAGTTTAAAGTTGCAGTTATGGAAGTTTTGTGTTGCTCCAGCTATGTTGCCGTCACGTTTGTACACTAAAAAGAAATCAATATTTTACTAGAGATTTGAGTACAGAAGTATTTTCATTCTATAGATTTGCAGAATGCAAGTATATGCAATTTCAGTTTGATTTGTTTGGAAATGGTTACATATAATACATACATTAAGTACATGCTTATTGTAAATTTTCATTAGCTCTGTATAAATTGTATATATTTAATAATCTATCCAGCTTAACAGAATTGTCTTAAAAAAAGAGAATAAAGAAATTAATGACCAACCTGTCAAAAACTTTGACAGTTCCTTAACCCAGAATTGGTAGCTTCCTGGATCGTTGCCCTTGTACCAGATAACGCTGCTGGCGACCTCTGGAGGCATAGGTCGGAACCCAAGCCCAGGATTGGTGCCAATGATACTGCTCTCCAACTGCCATTTAGGCTGTCGTGCGTCCAGGAGTTGAAGGAACGTCCACATGCAAATAGCCACAAGAATGGCCAGTGCCGCGTAGAATATGAAGTAAAACAGTAATATTTTGGCTGAAATAAAGTAATAATTTATATTAGTTGACAAAAAACTTAAAATTCCTTAGAGCCGTAACCTGTCTCTTAAGATACAGGCGTAGCCTAGTTTAAGAGACATGGTTCAAATTTTGAATATACAACAATATTTTGTAACTTTAGAACTTTAGCGTATAATACTGTAAATACCAATTGTGTCTGCTAGTTTTACTGTTGTAACACCTTTCTACCAATAAATATATTTATTATTATTATTTATAACTTAAAATTACTGTCAAAAGATTAGATTTTTGACAACAATTAACCACTTTCCACAGAGTTTCATTTATCATTAGTACTGCGTTGCGAATGCGTGTGGTGACGGATTAATAATACGGAGTGTCATCACCCCTATTAATCTCGTGGGTGTCGTAAGAGCCGACTAAGGGAGTAAACTACGCAGAACAACAACACTGCAAAGAGATGGAAAATTTGAAACAAACCCTATACCAACCCGTCTGGCCAGCATGGTGCTAAAACCTCCCAATGGATAACTAAAGGCTGTTCATGATGATGACTGCGCTGAGATTCTAAAATCATCAATTATATTTGAGTCGAGCACGAGGTTAACAGAATTTCGCTTCATACCATGTATGAAGATCGATTACATTCCCAAAAATGGCTGGTGTCAGGCAGCAGCGAGGATTACGTGATCTCTTGAGTGATGGAAGAGAACAGAAGAAGAAAGTTCAGACAACAGAATAATTTGGAAAAATATGATTAAGATCATGATGGTCAGTTCATGTCAATGTTCTAGTGGCCTCTGCAATAACAGTGACTTAGGCTGTTTTCCCCCTCAGAATAATCCCATAAAATTTTGCCCAGTCCGGGAATCGAACCCACCACTAAGGCAGCGCTTTTCAAATTCCACGAAGTCGCTGGTGCCAGCTACTTTATGATATAAGTATGGACGTTCGTCCGCTTCGTTACGTAACGCGTTACAGCGCCAGTTTGTCTTGCTTCCCTTTCTCTCACGCATACACCAGCGGTAGGCAGGCTTCGTCTCTCTCACTCTAACCCACAGCCGTATTTCGGACATACGCTTTACATAAAATTTAGGGAATAACCTAAGCTTTTCTCAAGGTAAACAATTTCAATATTAAATAGTTCAACTTAGATCAGTTTAAGTTATTACTTTAGTCGGGTGTCCTGAGACGAACACGTTTTTGTCTTACAGATGTAATAACCAGCCAATAATGGTACTTTAGATAATGTACAGCACATTACATAAAGTGTCATTCTTTAAATCTTAAGTTCCTTCCACGTGGGATGGAATTTATGACAATTTCCCGTTGTGTCATTACAACGTTTAGAATCGCGGTCCTAATCAACCCATTCAATAAAAAAAAAGCAGACAAGTGCAAGTCTGACTCACACACGGCAGGTTCCGAAATTGTATGCAATTGACAGTTAGCACAATTTGAGGATCGATTCTTGAAAATGATAGTTAGTTTTTTCTCAGTAATAAACTAAGTTTGATGTTTTATCCCTACTAAAATAATTATAAATGCGAAAGGGACCTCTTGTGGCAGATTAATTTGTTACTGCGGTAGAGGATAGGATGGCGGCCTGATCGCACCAAAAAATTTGATTGGACCTTAACATTTAGTGATAAACTGATAGGCAGGCTCAAGCCTAAGGCTTCCCGGAGAAAGGGCCTAGTTAGGTGTGGCGTCGATCCGGGGCGGACCTGAAATCACATGGTCCTAGTCCAGAGCCTAAGGCCGGACGTCGGGGTAGTTTTTATTGGAATCACCACATACTCCTGTTTCATTTGATTTATCTGTTCGATTATCTGTTCGTTTAAAATATAGGTATATTTTTTAAATGGTCATATATTATTCGATTGCGAGAACCGCAGACTCCACGTATTCTTAAAAAGTAGGGCTTTGACAGACAAACAGGAGGAGAAGAACACAGAGAACCATTCAATGATAAATAAATGAATAAATATTTTAGACATCTGACACACAACGCCATCTAGTCTCAAACTTTGCTTGTACTGTGCAATCTAGATTAACTGATAGAATACTTATACACATTTTTGTATACATAGAATACACCCAAACACCGAAACAAATATTTGTAGATCATACAAACATTTGGACCGACCCGGGAAGACAAGACTAGGACCAACACCATTCCAAAACTAAATACTTACATACAATTACATATTTAATAATAATAATATTGTACCACATTCACACAACGCCATCTAGTCCCAAACTAAGCAGAGCTTGTACAATGGCTACTAGACAACTGATATAAATACATAAATACATACTTATTATACATAGAAACAGCCAGACCAAATCAAACATTCAATGTTCATGCACACATATGTTTGACTTGAGCGGGAATCGAACCCGCGACCTTTGGAATAGCAGTCCGAACACAAACCACTACGCCATTCGGTCGTCGATTTATTTCCAAAAGGGGTAGATAACCGCCCTTATTTTGCCAACTATACATTTATTTCCACTTAATATAGTTACTAAGCATTTTACTAATACTCGTCGCAATAACCATGATGAAGAATCAGGCAAAGTGCTCAACATCTTGTATTGGGTGATGACTCCAGCCATTGTTAGGTTATTTAAATTTCAACTCTAACGGTAATAAATAACGTGTAAAGAATAGTTTGTTTGCGTATATATATATTCGCCGGTTTCTACTCAGCTGGGAATAGGGGTTCGATTAATCCATGGGACAACACTTTATGAGTCTGTTGTTTTTGTCGAGTTTGTTGTCTTGTTGTTTCTGGGTGATTTTGTGCGACACAGGATAATACAATAATATTAATAATAAGGATAATTCATCCCGTGGGTGTCGTAAGAGCCGACTAAGGGGAAAAAATTTGCAGGACAAGAGCGAGGCAAAGAGAAGGAAAACTTGACACAAACCCAATACCAACCCGTCTGGCCAGCGTGGTATAGTCTGCCAAAACCTCCTTTCTAAGGAGAGGCCTATGTCCAGCAGCGGACTATTAAAGGCCGATGATGTGTGACAGGATAATACTCCCAGTGCGCGGTTGTAAATTTTTTTTTACCATGATTTAGATACTTTGAAGTGTACATACATGTACCCCTTTCTAAAACATAATTATAAGATTCAGGTTTATGTACGCATTGTTAGTTAATATGTAGGTAAGTATTAAAGCATTCGTAACCTTTATATGAAATCTTAACGAGGAAAAAATAGGTAATTGTGGTTGTGAATTCCTTAACAAGAGAGAAAGGCCACAAGCCGGCCGTGGTCCGGTTGTAACGAGTGAACGACGGCGCGCAGGATGCTCCAATGATCTCATTGAAGCAATGAACGGCCGTCACAGCTTCCGGTATACCGTCTTTGTCCACGTTATGTAAGTCTCGACTGGATTATTACTTAGAACTTTGAGTCATTTTTGTTATTTCGTGGCTATTACGAGAATTATGACGACAGGACAGTTGCTTTTTAAACGGCTTCAAAAAAAGGAGAAATAATTTTTTTGGGAGGTTAGGTACACCTACTTCCCGTTTAGTCAAATTCAAATTTGAATAAAAATTTCTTAAGAGTACAAAATGAAGGAATTATGATGTTTGGACTGTTGACATTAAAACTTTTTAAAAGCTAATTATAAATGTACTCAAACTATTAGAATATTTAATAATAAAATCTTTATAGTTACAACTAATTTTTAATCGAACTTATATCAAGCCAACCAAATAAGAATATACTATAATACAACTTTTATTATATAAAATAATAAAACATAACTTGCCACATTACGCAACGCAGTCTGATCCCAACTAAACAAGGTCTGTACTATGGTAACCAGACTAGGTACTAATAAATATACTTTATATTTTTTTTAATTTTAGCTCATGTAATTCGTTTTAACTAACCACTGCTGAGCATAGGCCTCTCTTTAGGAAGGGGGTTTTTGCCTACTATACCACGCTGGCTAGACGGATTACGGGGGACGGTATAGGGTTTGTGTCAAGTTTTCCTTCCCTCTGTAGTGCTGTTGTACGTATGAATGGGTACGGGGTATGAATGGGGTATGGTACGGGATGAATAGGGGTTGGGACACTCTGTATTCTTAATCCGTCACCACACGGATCCTAGTAAGTACTAAAGTATTTTTTTTTTTTTTAAAAAGACAACTCCCGCATTAGGAAAATATCCTGTGTCGCGGGGGACTTTACGGGACTTTACAGACATACATGAAACGGACACAATGAACATCCAGACTCAGAACAACAATTTGGATCACACAAAGTGTCGTCCCATGTGGGGTTTGAACCCACAACACTCGGCGTAGTAGGAAGCGGCGTGGCGACCGCTTAAACCACTACGCCATCCGTGCAGTCAAATCAGTAGATTAAGGGAAAGACTTACACCAGCTGCCTCCAGTCCGCCCTAAGAACTGCTTTGTTTTTGGGTTCCAGACGAAACGCTGGAATTTCTCAGCTCCAGATAATGGAGGCTCCTTTTCTTTGTAGTATAGGTTGAACCGCTCCAAGCTGGTCAAGTCCGAAGGTCGTTTTTTCGTAACCGTCATCCTGATTAAGTGTTTGTAACTGGAATCAAGATTATCTATATTATTTATTAGACAAAGAATTCGGCATGCGAATGTTTTTTGGAGTTCTGTTTGTTAAAAAATCACTGATGGTGTGAAAAGTGTGTGTGGAAGTGACTACAATGCCAATAAATTATGATGAAATAGCTGTAACCTGCCACGCCTGGCCCAAGGATACTATATTCATAGATATAATAACATTCTAAGTAATATACTTTCAACTTAAACAGGCTTCATTCCTTAAATGGGACTTGTCTATGCTATTCTTGTCATTCGTATCTCATCACTATAGGTACATTGTAACCTTACAACATTACTTAATATAATATAATATATTCTACCAAATTAACACAACACCATCTAGTCCCAAATTAAGCAGAGCTTGTACTATGGCTACTAGACAACTGATATAAATACATATATACTTTTTTTTGTAAATACATATTTACATATACAAAGAAACACTCAGACCAAATCAAACATTAAATGTTCATGCACACAAATGTTTGACTTGAGCGGGAATCGAACCGGCGACCTTTGGAATAGCAGTCCGCTACACAAACCACTATGCCATCCGATCGTCAACTTTTTCCTTCACTTCCATAAAACTGTAAAACCTAGTTATTTTGGACATTAAAGCTCTGTACAAATCTTCAGAGTATTCATTTAACTACGTTGAATCCCCAACAGGAACTAACCGGGAAGAGATGCTCTCAAAATAAAAATAAAAATTGTTATTTATAATACCAGTACAAGACTTGCCATATAGTGAGGTATTATGACTCCGTGTTAACTCTATACTGATAGTGGTGCCTGGTCCCCATTGAGTTCTAGCAGTACTTATCACTAATAATATATAACTCGACAGATCTCACACACGGCAGTCTAATCCCAAACTAGGTAGACCCTGTACTATGGTAACTAAAGTGCTAATAAACATACTTATACAGGTCCGTCACTATTAGTGAAGTTATTTCCCATTTGGGCCTAAGGACTAATACTCTCAAATATCTTTGTTAAAATACGATAGTTGACAAGTAAGTTTATATTAAACCGTAATTTATAATTGCTTCAGACATCTCTCACAAGGCCGAGTCTGTTACTGCTGATTAACATACACATTTATATCTTTTATCAACAGCCTTTACTAGTAGACTGCTGGACATAGGCCTCTCCTTAGAAAGGAGGTTTTGGCCTACTATACCACGCTAGCCAGACGGGTTGGTATAGGGTGTGTGTCAACGTAGTATGATGAAAATTATATCTTTATTAATACGTAAAGAAAATTTTATGGCCCATTTCAAATAAATATGGCCCAAGCATGCATATCTTTCGTATACTTAATGTTTATATGTAAAAGAAAGTGCAAAAATCTAAATTTTAAAAACAATACATGCTTCCAAGTTAAACTTTTATAAAAATGGCTTCACTAAATATGTTAAATTAAATATTACTCACGAGGGTCATCTACAAGTCGTAGATTTCCCGGGGTTCCAGGGATTTCCTTTCTGGGGTACACCTGGTTCCCCGGCTACTGGTACCCGAGACAGCGTTTGGTTTTTAGTCAGTTCGAGTCTAACATGACCAAACCACCGGTGGGTGATATCCGTAGGGAGTCCGCACAGGAAAAAATGTTTTTTTTTATTGGAACCACCACACTTCTACTTCTGATTTCCCAAGGAGCAGGAGATCCGAATTGCTGACCCCGTCAACAGAAAAAATTGTAGGTATTGAAGCCACGACAGTTTGCATTGAGGCTCACGAACCAATACACAAAATTAAATGGTCAAATTAAACGGCGTTTCCTTTTAAGTTAAGTAGGAAATAACGAGATAACGGTATTCGTCATAGTTATCGAATAAGAACTTTTAGCTTTGGTTTTAAACGAGAAAAAGTATTTAATGGTATTTTTATGATATTGCCACGTGTGATCACCACCACGTAAGGACACCTGCAATTTGAGTCATAAGTGTGTCGCCAGCCTTTGCCAGCTCCTCCCATATTTAGGGCAACCGAGCGCGCCGTTATAGAGGATAGAGGACGTAAGACCCGTTATAGAGGATTGGCTTGATAGGCGTCACGAAGCCCCCTCATACCGGCTGACGCAGGTGATCACAAACAGAAAGGTTGTTTTGGAGAGCCAACGCCTGAGTGGCACCACTACGGTGGCTGGTCCGATGACACGGCCTTCCACACGTTAGCAGAATGCCCGCCGTGGGTGGAGCAGAGCCTTGACCTCGTGGTGGTCATTGGAGTGAGAGTCCTCTCGCTCGGTAGTATGATTGCCGCCATGGTACGGAGCGAGAGTGCGTGGAACTCCGACGTCTCCTTCTGCGAGCAAGTTATGCTTTCGAAGGACCGGTGAGAGGTTTAGAACTCTCCCAGGTCGCCAGGCACGGGCTAGGTACCGCAGACGACTCGGGCGCCGGAGGACGCAGAACGACGTAAGTCCTCCATAAGCGCAGGCCTGGGCGTGACAGGTGAGGCCATCTGTCATCCTAGCAGAAGCAGGCCGTGTTTCGGGCAGGCAGCAGGCATTCTGTTTATAGTCACTGCCCCGCTCCCAAGGCTCCCAATTTAAAATCAAGGTAACCCGCTTAGTACCCTATCTACTTTTTTAAAAAGCAATTATAAAATATTTTTAGAAAAGTAAAATTTAAATACAGTTGAAGAAACTCTTACCGGTATGTTCAACTGAAGCGGGTCCCGTAGGAGTGAGGGGTTTCGGCGCGTGTGTGCACAGAGCGACTGCGCCCGCGCACTCATACGCCACGACAATGATACTGTACTATGCAAGATAGAACAAGTTATTAATGCACATAATAATAAAACTATTAAATATTTTAAAATTACGAGTGTGAAGGTATTTAAGGCGATTAGGACTTCAAAATGTTTAGCATGATTTTGGAATTTTGTATTCGTTTTTAGTACATTTCTTGTTTTTCTTTTTTTAACTTGACATATACCGTATTGTTCCAGACATGTAAATGTTTGATAAAGGCTTACAGGATAGATAATGTACATACCGAAGGGCCTGTTGGTCTGGTGGTAAGCGATTCCGACGGTTACGCCGGAGGTCGTCGGTTGGATTACCACTCAGGACAAATATTATGTGATGAACACGATCATTTGTTCTCTGTCTGGGTGTAATTATTATTTTTATGTTAAAGGGGGCAGACGAGTAGACGGGTCAAATGATGGAAAGTGACCATCGCCGCCCATGAACTTCTGCAATTCAAGAGTCACAAACGCGTTGCCGGCCTTTTAAGAAGGAGTACGCTCTTTTCTTGAAGATTTGAAGGTGCCAGACAGGTTGGTACAGGATTTGTTTCACGTTTCCTAAATAGAGAATATACCCCGTTGCGGGCAGGCGCTAGGTGTTCCCGGATTACAGGCGCAGAGTGGCACACCGTGTGGTTTTAGTCGGTCCGATTCCGACACTCGACCCCGCCGTAAACCCCGGTTGGGTGACGGCCCTAGGGAGTTTCCATACGTAAAAAAAGGGTTTGTTACAAGCTTGCCTTCTCTTTATGGTATATCTATAACATTATAGTTACATCTAGCATAACAACGACTATCTCGCCCCCTCGTTTGTTAAAACCGATTCTGTCACTTTGTCGTCATTAACGTTTTATTCAAGTTGGCGATAACCTTTACCTGGTTCTACTGGACTGAGAGGAGATTGGCTGTAACCATGTCTGGTTACACCAATTATTATTTATTAGTCTATCAGACGGTGGAAGTAAATGCTGTAATTATTTACAGTGTTACAGACAAAGGACTCATAGTTTAGGGGTATTGCTTGCAACTAGACTTTTCTTTTTTCGGCCTTTTAGGAAGGAGTACGCTCTTTTCTTGAAGGTTTAAAGATTGTGTCGTATAACTTGTTCCACAGATTGGTTGTGAGAGGCAATAAATGTCTTGAAAAGCGCACAGTTATAGAGTGCCGATTATCCAGATGATGGAGACAAAATTTTTTCCGTGCCGAGCGGGAACTTCCGGAGACAAGGAAAAATAACTCCTCCATGATATATAAGATAGAGAATGCAGAGTTAAGCTACATCTCTACGTAACGCCAAGAGATCGAGCCGATCGGAGATCTTTGGGCCATCGACGATTCGAGTCGATTTTCGTTGGATGCAGTCCAGAGGGAGAAGCTGTTACTTGCAGGATGTGGAAAGAAAAAGAGGGCTATTCATGATCATCATACCGTAGAAAAGACATACTCCAGCACATATAGGCCAGCTCGTCCGAAGTAATACCACAGCCTCACCGAAAACCGGTGTTAAGCACAATTTTCGTTGCTCCTCAGTGAGTGAGGTTTACCGTGGCCCGAAGACCCCTCACCCTGATTCTGTGGGGAGCAGGACTTATAACGCGGCACTTGCAATCCAAGAGTCATAAGTGTGTTACTTGATGATGATGACGTGATTTTATCCCACGTGTAGTAACCTGTGTGTCAGATGAAAAGAGATTGAGAATCCGGTCTAAAAGCCAAACTAGATAAAAGCTGTTTGGTTTAAAAGAGAACAAATTTTGCGTAAACGAAAAAAGCGCCATCTATTGCATAATTGACGAACGAGGAGTTTCAAAAGCAAAATGGAAAATCTGAATCACCTAAACTCAGAGTTTAGTAGTACTACTAAATTAGCTATAGATGGCGTTAAAGAACCAAAACGAGTTTTACAATACACACTTGGAAAATAAAACTTGCAGATTATTATCGCACCGTCTAGATTTTAAGCGAACAACGTCCCATTTTCACTGTCACCATTAAAATGTTTTTATTTATTTATTAATTAAGGCATATTTACAGAATAAACACAAACATTCATACACATAATTGTTTCAAACTGAGTTCACGCGCTACTCTAATTACAAATATATTCACATATAAACAACATAATAATTATAAAAAAAATAGCAACAGCTTTATACATAACTAAAACTTAACTAAAAACTTTACGAGATCAGCAGAATAGATTATATTATTAATAATGAAATTGTACCAAATTTAACAATATTAACACAATTGAAAATCAAATAATATATATATATATTTTATAAATCGGCAGAAACTTGATAGTGGCGCCCCTATAAACAGCTTTTGAGATCATCACATCAACAGCCTTTAACAGACCATTGCTGGACATAGGCCTCTCCTTAGAAAGCTGGCTTTGGTCTACTATACCACGCTGGCCAGACGGGTTGGTACAAAGTTTGTGTCAAGTTTTCCTTCCCTTTGCAGAGCTGTTGTCCTGCGTAGTTTGCGTAGTTGTATAATACTTACTTATTATCTACTTAATGAACTAGCTTTTTATGGTACCTACGCAATCTATTTACTTACCTAAAGACCCTACAATATGCTGTATTATTGAATAAAAAATCCTACACAAAAAAATATAAATAAATAAAGATAATTTTAATCCGTCTGAGGTCCACGACAATTTATGTTTTAGCTTTGATACTGTAATTTGACCCGTACTTATCAAGGAAACACAAATAAATATTCATTCACTGCTCTAAGTAAACCAGTTCGGTGATTACCACTGTCGCGTCAACATTATGTTCTATCTAAATATGGTTGGTTTCTTCATCGCTGTTATCAGCTTGTCGACTGCAACAGGTAAAGCTTCCATTTCATCATCATTTAATCACTTAAATATAATCCTGTGAAGAGTCTGACGTAAGCAGACGTAAAAACCACCGCTGAAAAAATGCGTCTATGACTGTCATGGTCTTAAATTTATAATTCTAGTCTTTTGTGTTATCATTCCGTGTGGTGACGGATTAAGAATACAGTGTCAGAGTGTCACCACCCCTGTTGTGGTGTTGTCCTGCGTATTTTACTAAGGAAGTAAAATACGCAGGACAACAGCACTGCAGAGAGAAGGCAAACTTGAAACAAACCTTAAACTAACCCGTCTGGCCAGCGTGGTATAGTAGGCCAAAACCTCCTTTCTAAGGGGAGGCCTTAGTCCAGCAGTGGACCAGCAAAGGCTTTTGATGTGTGATATGATGTGATGTGTGTTATCATTCTATACCTATATATATAAATGTAAAGTGGGATTGTATACGCTTTAAAAATTCAAAAAGTTGTGCACAGATTTAACTCAAAGTTTGATGACATGATGTTCGAACTGCTTCAAAGATTGTTTTTATCTATTTTTTCGTACGTTTTATTACTTATTTCTAGTGCACTGTACAGCCAGTTATTAGATAAATAGTTGCCTTAATTTCGAATATATTTTATCACTTACTTGTGTGCGTAAATAAACGATATAAACAGTAATTAAAATGATTGTTGATAAGGTCGGTAAACAGTGCAGGGCATCAATTCTGCTATTTTAATATTGTATCAATAGACTGTCGATCGAATGTCGTCGGAATAGTTTTGCACTTTTCCTATTCTACTAACTATGTAAGACCAATGGCCTCCCGATGACTTGTCACTGATACTAATGTCTTCGATGTCTTTGTAACAGTTTGGTAAACAGTACATTTTAAATTTGTAAGAAAATGATTTGTTTAATTTTCCAGGTATGCCAATGTTGTTCATATCACCTATATATCATTACATTGATGACCTATATATCGACAGTCTATTGACACTGTAAAATTTAGTTAGTAGAATACCGATATTTTGACAGATGTCAATAGCGTCTCAATGGCATCTCAATAATGGAATGACAGTGGCTTGGTGTTAACATAAAATAGCAGAATGGAGGCCCAGATTGTATGTAACTCTTTTTTCTTCTTAAGAGAAAATGGAAATGAAAGTAATACAAATATTGAAGTTTTTAATACTTAACTCCATTTTATAATACTGTACTTAACAAAAATATGAACAAACTTGAATGGGTTTTGGCTTAGATTTCTCTTAAATTCTATAATTAGTTTTGTACGGTCATGTGGACGATATTCGTTATTAATTTTCTATTGCCCACTTAGTCGCTTTTAGGTACCTTTTTTACACAGACACGTTGACTGGAGCCCGTATGCCGTCTGTATGGACGGGCCGGCTCAAAACTTTGGTCCTTTCTTCAAAAGGCCAACCCAGACCCTATACTGAAATGAAATAAAATTAAATGATGAAATGATATTTATTTCTGCAAGTAAACCTTTTCAGATATTTTTACAAGTCGGACTTAACAGCCTAGAAGGCGACGGCACTGCACACATAGTTCTCTTTACCATTGTGCACGGACTTAAAAAAAATACACCTCTGTGGTTTTATTCAGCGTTTTTTCCCAGAGTGAGTCTTAGGAAATGCCAGCGCCTTCCAGCTGTAAAGTACGACTTGTAAAAATACTCGTATCTTAAAAGGTTTACTTGCAGAAATAAATATCATTTCATTTCGACACCTTCCTGACGACGAGGCGACGTTCCATTTTGTGAGTACAAATGCTGTCAGACGGGCAACAAAAATAGGTAAATTGGCGAAGGGAACACAAGAGTCATGTACTCCCTTAACCAATTTACCTACTCAGGACAAAGAACTGAGACTTTAGTAGCTGGAAGAGTCTGGGATCCGGTTTTTAGAGAAGAAGTTTGTAGTCTTTTCGACTGGCGATGCGAATTCCGACATTATTTCTGAAACAACATCTCCCATCTTTCAGAAGATTTACAGAATGATGTCATTTAACTGTAGTTTTAGATACTGATAAGTACTATATGCATACTATAGTCAAAATAATTATCTTTCAAACAAGTGAAACTGACTTCAATACATCTGCATTATAAACTGTGTTCTTCATTACTTTATTTTCACCCTCAGAGGTGGTTTATTTTTCAAGCCCAGGGTTTATGTGGTAAATCTCCCCTTGCGGCTTTTTTGATCTCTTGGGGATCATTTTGGTATCGAATAAAATTTGTCGAGGCAAAGTTTTAGCTCTTTAAAGCAAACGGCTTTAAGGTTTTTAAAAAACTTTTTTTTAGGGTTCCGTACTCAAAGGGTAAAACGGGACCCTATTACTAAGAATCCGTTGTCCGCCTGTCCGTCAGTCTGTCTGTCCGAATGTCACCAGGCTGTATCTCATGAACCGTGATAGTTAGACAGTTTAAATTTTTACAGATGATGTATTTCTGTTGCCGCGCACAAATGCTAAAAACAGGATAAAATAAATATTTAAGGGGGGCTCCCATTCAACAAACGTGATTTTTGTGCTCGTTTTTATTCGATATTGATAACGGCTACAGATAGACGCTTGAAATATTCAGAGAACATTTAGTTATATATTCACTTTAAATATAAATAATCAAATTAAAATAAAACAAATATTTAAGCGGGGCTCCCATACAACAAATGTGTTTTTTTTGCCGTTTTTATACACAATGGTACGGAACCCTTCGTGCACGATTCCGACTCGCACTTGGCCGGTTCTTTTTAAGTTTTTGTTTCATATTAAAATTCAAAATTAATTAATAGTGAGTTTTTCCTTATTCCTAATAATGAAAGACACTTCTAAAAAAAGTTAAGGTTATCAAACTCCTCTTTTTTTGGGCGTTGATTAAAAGACTTGAAAGTAAAAAGAACAAAATAGAAGTAACTAGAATTTTCGTAACTTAATGAACTCATAACTACCAATATGAATCATACTACACAGTCATAAGAATAAAATAACACTACTATAAATTTACGCTAGTGTAATTTAGTCTAATTATTGTCTAAGATCTATGTTAAACTGAAATGTCCTACACTGTAATATTTATATTGGTCAAATAAAAAATATTATTATTATTATAACTAATCGAGAAGTCTCATCAATCACCACTAGGATATGATTAAAATTTTACAATCCTAACTGGTGATCCATTAAACTGTACTATTACTGATTACTAAGTTTTAAACGTGAGGACGTTATTATCTAAACGTGAGATGATATAAGACCAGCAGATAAACTTTGTGAACCTTTATTTTTAACCTTTGACGCACACACACACACTTGGATAATTGGCGCTCCATCACTTTGCGCTTTTTAAGACACAACCAATCTGTGGAATCGGCTGAGGTATATCCGGATCGATACGACCTTCAAGAAAAGAGCGTACTCCTTCCTCAAAGGCTAGCAACGCGCTTGTGACTTCTGAGTTGCAGGCGTTCATGGACGGTGGTAGTCGCTTTCTATCAGGTGACCCGTCTGCTCGTTTACCCCCTATTCCATAAAAAAAGAAATACAGGAGGCGTGTTACAGAGTTTATAGATAGTTCAACTCAGTTGTGCGCGCGGCCCTATGTGTGCGTGGGCTTGTAAATATACAACTTTAATTCGTGTGGTATTCGTCTTGCGCGGACGACGACTGCCGCGTCACTGCCACACGAATGAAAGTTGTATATTTACAAGCCCACGCACACATAGGGCCGCGCGCACAACTGAGTTGAACTATCTATAACGTGTTGTTTACTTATGTCTGTGTATCTACGAGTCTGTGTATCTCAGTAAGATATCATAGTTACTTAACAGATAGGTTGATTACGAGCTGAGAGGTGAGATGTCGGATGTGATACATCACATATACTACTTTATAGGCCGCTTACTTGGCGGTATGTTGGTAGTTGATGACAACACTGGCCGGCCAACATAATAGGGTTGGTATTCCGTACATACATCAAATTAAATTAAACGTATCTACTATATATTTGCAAGAGATTTCACATACATCTAAATCAAGCGTCAATGGCCAATGATCAGTACGCCACTGTGTAAATAACATCCAATATTATGGCTCAACATGCTGGCCCAGCACCTTAGCCCTTAAGGCGTTATTATTCTAAGCCCTTAAGGCGTTATTTTTCTAAGACCTTAAGGCTCGTTCCGGTCGTCCGTGTGGTGACGGATTAAGAATATGGAATGTCACCACCCCTATTCATCCCGTGGGTGTCGTAAGAGCCGACTAAGGGCGCAAAACAACGCAGGACACCATCACTGCAAAAAGAAGGAAAAATTGACACAAACCCTTTACCGTAACCCGTCTGGCCAGCGTGGTATAGTAGGTCAAAACCTCCTTTGTAAGGAGAGGCCTATGTCTAGCAGTGGAGTATTAAAGGCTGTTGATGATGATGATGATGATTAAGGCTCGTTCGATTTTTTATATTGTATCGATGTTTTTATATTTTGTCGTTATTACGTGCTAATCTTAAAAATAAACGCAAAATGTCATGCTATAGGAAAATAACTTACAGGAATATTGTATAGGCATAAATCCTGATATGATACATTGTTTATTTAGTCTACGAGAATTAGTTTACACGGCGCGCGCCAGTCAAGCTGCCAATAGATCTGTATTTGCCGCCATTTTTAACTATTGTCATTACGTTTCATCAATTTTTTATAAAACCACAATGAATTTTATTTACTACTAAATCTTCACGTTAAAATCCGTTTAGTATTTTTTGGAAACTGTATTGTATTGTGTTCGCAGATGTGGTACAAGAGAGGCGTTTTTCCAACTCTGATGTGGAACTGTCAATGAAAATAGATAAAGCAGTGGCGACACGGGACGAGGCCAAGGAAAGTTGTGGGAGCCAAGGTAACATTTGAATAATGCCATGCATTTTATTTAAAAGTTGTGGATCAACTTTCTTATTAGGAATCGTTGATTTGTCTCTAGTAAGAATTATATAGTAACCATAATCGGGCTCGTTGGTCTAGTGCTTAGTGACCCTGACTGCTAAGCCGGAGGTCGTGGGTTCGATTCCCACTCAGGATAAATAATTGTGCTCATCACGATGATTAATTCTGTGTCTGGGTGTAATTTATCTATGATATGTATGTATTTAGAAATATATTAGTATGTTTATCAGCAGTCTGGTTACCATAGTACAGGCTATGCCTAGTTTGGGATCGGACGATATATTGTTTTATTATTATTCTAGCAGTCAATCTAGCTTTTACAATACAAGTTCTGCTTAGTTTGAAACTAGATGGCGTTGTATGTTAGATGTTTATGTATACAATGGTAAAACAAAACCCTCCTTCATGCGGAGTCTGCTAGAAAGACAAATTTAAATAGTCGAAAGACTTTAATGACAGCAAAAAATCTTTAACGGGAACATAAATTCAGCCTTCACTATATTTTTCCATTAATTAAATGAATATATTGAGTATTACTCAGAGGTTTTGTAAGTCACTTGAAGCTGGTAATTTTACAGAATATGAATACTCCAAAGAAACAGGCAGCTGTTACAAAATATACAGGGTCCATGAGATTTGGTCCGAGGCAAACAAGACCTGTGCTAATGACGGTGCTTACTTGGTGATTCTGAATGACGAACACGAAGCAAAAATTGTTGTGGAAATGTTTTCAAAGGAGTCCAGATTGCCTGCATCGTGGGTGGGAGTCAGAGATGATACAGGAATGGGTCAATGGCACAGTGTTCATGGTTAGTGACGTCAAATTTTTGTTGTTAATGGAATGGAATGGAATGAATGAATGCAAAGAAACATTTCTTTCTTTGCATTCATTCATTCATTTCATACCTTAACGTGTGAACTGTAATTCCACTCTTAATTGACCAAAACAACAATGACCGGATGGCGTAGTGGTTTGTGTAACGGAATGCTATTCCAAAGGTCGCGGGTTCAATTCCCGCTCAAGTCCAACATTTCTGTGCATGAACATTTAATGTTAATGATTTGGTTGGGTGTTTCTATGTATAATATGTATGCATGCATTTACAAAAAAAAGTATATAATGTATTTAAATCAGTTGTCTAGTACCCATAGTACAAGCTCTGCTTATTTTGGGACTAGATGGCGTTGAGTGAATGTGATAGAACTAAAAATAAAACAATTAATACTGGCTGGTCTGACTTCAACTCTCTTAATCCGCTCTCGTTATTGTTTTTGTTAAGTAGTAGCTTTCAATTGTTTTACGCAGAAACATTCAAGAGGTCCGTTAACATTTGGACAATAGTTGCTGCTGAGCCTCTTTCTCTATTAGGCTGTGTTATCTTCCTCTTCTAGAGAAATTTCAGTTGGTACGATTTAAAACCCTTTCTCTGGGGTAAAGGACCTTGGGGATATATAGATATTTTTATGAGCGAACTTGATGTCTGTTTCCCTCATAGTACGTGATTTCTTACATTTAATTACTATTAAATTAACTTAGGCTAGATAATTATTTAGCGTCATACCTAGATTAAACTTTAATTAAATGAAATAGAAGTCCACCTACTGATAAGCTAGACAAGACCAGCCCGCAACGTATTTGTAGCTTCATATCAAAGCTTCGGTCGAGAAGGCTTCCTTCCTCTATACAAAGATTGTACAAATCTAACTGACTTTTTTTTCTTTTCAGGCGATCCCATGGATAAGATATACAATGTTTGGCATAAATATTCAACGAATTTGTATGTTTCGGAAGCCTGTGCTCTCTTAAATCCCGAAGGGAAATTGTACGATTATTATTGTAATTATTACTATCATGCCATTTGTGAGAAAAAACCTCACGTACTGTAAAGAGTGCTGGACAAGTTTTTTGATCGGTAAAAACGAGAAACCTCCAGAGGACTACAGAGCAATACAAAATAGAATGTAATTTGATTAAAATAGTAACCAAATTTAATTTAATTTTCATTATATTCACACACACACATACATATTTTTTTAAGTGATTTTACTTAAACTACAAATAAAGTAAGAAGTAGATATTAAAACGGCCTCACCAGGGACTTCCTTTCTAGGGTATACCTGGTTCCCCGGCTATTAGTACCCGGCGAAGGCGTGCGGTTTTAGTCGGTTCGAGTCCGACATGCCACCGACAGGTGGTATCCGAGGGGATTTCCGCACGGAAAAAAAAAAAAGGTATTAAAACGGCCTGTACGTTTATCTATGTATATATATATATATATAAGAGATTTCCACGTATATAGTCACTCATCACGATATCTCTGGAACCATTAGAGCTAAAGACTTTAAATTTGGTAGGAATATTCTTTTCACCGAGTAGAGGTCAGCTTAGAACGGATTTTAAGAAATTCAAGAAAAATAAAATAATGTAAATAGCAAAACAACGTTTGCAGGGTCAGCTAGTAATATTTTATACTTTTGTTTATTTATACGCATATCATCATATGTTTAGTTTTTTAATTAAATAAGGCCCATAAAACAGACTTGCGCCTTCAGCTCTATAAGGCGCAAGTCCGGCCGCATATATAATACTGTTCTCATCTCTATGCAAAGGCACCTCAGTATCAGCTTCTCCCTCTGGACCGCATCCAACGAAGAGCGACTCGAATCGTCGATAGCCCAAACATCTCCGATCGCATGGAGAGTGCTCCGAGGAATTGTTCGGACTAATACCAGCCGCAACTTCCCGCCATCGTTCCACACGGCAACATTTTCATCCGCATCACCTGGATAGTTGGCGCTCCACTACTGTGCGCTTTTCGAAACGCTTTTTGCCCCGCACTACCAATATGTGAAATGAGTTATCGTCTGCGGTATTTCGACCTTCACAAAAAGAGCGTAATACTTCCTAAAAGACTTGAAGAAGAGGTGATGCTAACTGGTGATCTGCGAGGTTTATCATTCGGAACGATCAGTGCGGCACTCTAAATGTGCAATTTTTATCTTTCATTATCATCAGCAACAGCCTTTAATAGTCCACTGCTGGACATAGGCCTCTCCTTAGAACGGAGGTTTTGGCCTACTATACCACGCTGGCCAGACGGGTTGGTATAGGGTTTGTGTCAAGTTATCCTTCTCTTTGCAGTTTTGTTGTCCTGCACAGTTTGCTCCCTTAGTCGGCTCTTACGACACCCACGGGATGAATGATGATGAATTTTTATCTTTATTTTGTCGTAATTTTTAGAATTTAGAATCCATGATTCTTTTTAATAAGACATTGTACACCATTCTTTAACATACTTAAAACCTCTCGTCTATTTATAAATTTGAGACTAGTCTGTAGGTCCAGTGGTGACGATCGTGGGTTCTCAACAACAGTTCGTGGCTTCGTTTCCCATTCTAGATAAATAATGTGTGATTACCACGAGCATTTTAATTCTGTATCTAGTATAATATAGATACTAGTATTATAAATGCGAAAGTGTGTCTGTCTGTATGTTACCTCTTCACGCTTAAACCGACCAACCGATTTAGATGAAATTTGGTATAGAGATAGTTTGAGTGTTGGGAAAGAGCATAGGATAGTTTTATCCTAAATCCCAATAATTCTTTAAGGGGGTGAAAAGGGTAGTTGGTATAAGGAATCAATAACTGCTGAACCGCTTCAGATGAAATTTGGTATGGAGATAGTTTGATTCTTAGGAAAGCACATTGTTACTCGCTGATAACGTAGCTTTCTTGGTGATAGAAGTTTGAAAATCGGTTTAGTGGTTTAGGTATGAAAGCGAAACAAACTAACTCACTTTTAAAGTATGTCAGTATGGAAAAGTAGTATACTGTTTATTTAAAACGGTAAATTATTACCAAAATCATTAAATCCTATTATGCGTATATCAACATACACCTCCAAAATAATACCGTAATCGTTGAATGATAAAGAACCTAAAAAAACAATTATTTAAAATTAATTTTCCTTAATACCTCATAAAGAACCATTGAATTGGCAAAAGCATTCAATCATTCTGCCTTCCGCGAATTAATCGGATAATAAATCGGCCATCGGCAAATCGCAACACTCTGACTGAACAACTGGGCGTGGAAAAAAAAACAAAAGGGAATATTTATGCACTTTATTCGGATGCGCGGCGCACGTCAATCATACAGCCGGACTTGGGCTAAACGAGTATCGAATTAAGATTCGATAAGGATTTCGAATATCGATATTATTGGCGTTTTAAACAACTTTGCTAATGTTTCAGTTTTACCTATATTTATAGGTGTCATTTTGCTAAGAAACCTTCTTTTGATCTTCCGTGACGTATAAAATTTGCACAATATTCTATAAATGTTTGATTTCGTCTGAGTTTTTGTATGTATAATATGTATACAAAAAAGTGTATATGTATTTATATAAGTGGTCGAACACCCATAGTAGGTACAAGCTCTGCTTAGTTTGAGACTAAATAGCTGTGTGAATGTGGAAAAAAATATTTTTGTTCAAAGAAAAAACCTTTGAATCTAAATGTTTTCTAACTTGTATTGCATCGTAGTACAAATATATTTTAATAATTCGAACATTTATTTAAACACAGTTCTCGAATATCTTTATCGATAATAGCGATCATGAATGCATCGGCCAACACCACATAGCGGTACTGACACGAGGGGTGAGATACTCTCGCTCCGCCGTTTTCAATCAGATGTTGGACCACCGGGGTATAGGGGTGTCACATCTGATTATTTAGTGGACAAATATAATTTATAGGTTTACGAAACATTTCTCACCTCTTTGAACACCAACTGTCAAAAAGTTGTCGGAAAGATTTCAAAATTGGAATATTTATTAAGCGTGCGGGGGCTCGTGGCTAAGTGATAACTGAGTAGGTTAAGCAATCCTGGTAAGGTCAGTCTATGGATGGGTGACCATTCTTAACTCATTGAGGCCCCTCCCTGGCTCGGAGAGCCCTTTAAGTCGTCGGACTATGGCAATCGTTACGGTTTTTTTATGGGTGCCTATGCAACCTTAATGTCACAGGCGCGTCCGGGTCTTTAAGGAAGGAGTACGCTCTTTTCTGGAAAGTTTGAAGACCGTAGCGCTCCAGAAGTACTGTAGATGTTAATTTCTTCCACAGTTTAGTTGATTGGGTAGTTAGAACCCTAAAAAAAAGTCCACCAACAGTCTTTCTATAGAACTTCGATATTGCCTAGTATTTGGGTTGTGGAGATCTGATCACAGCAGTCGCTCCACGTAAAAAATCGAAGTTCAGCCGTATCTTAGACTTAAATCCAACCCCCACCTAGTTTGGTAATTAAGTTCTGGAGTTAATTAGGAACGTTGGTCGCTATCTAGCAGTCGTCACAGGGAGTCGATCTATCTAATGATCGTTCAAAGTATTTAAAAGTAATTAAAAGATCTTAACAAAAAAGAAAATCAGAGACAAAAAGCCGTGTGGTGTCGTGGGACACCCGATAGGAACGAAGTTGTGACGATCGAGTAAAACTGATTCGACACGATTTTAATTACAACGCCATCTATGAAAGCGGCTATTACCTACATATTTTTCAGTTGGTTTCTAATTAAAACAATTTATACATTGGTAAAATCTCCTTGAGAAATGATTTCCTATCTATTCGATAGATGGCGCTGAATGACTGACATAAAAAGTGTCGTTACAACTTTTCGTGAGAATTTATTCCGTCTAGCCCCCTTTCACAACGCAAATAGAGAAGAAGATATTAAATTTGTTTTGGGTTTGTCTCATCACATCACACATCAACAGCTTTTAATAGTCCACTGCTGGACGTGGGCCTCTCCTTAAAAAGGAGGTTTTGGCCTACTGTGTACTTTGGCCTTATGTAGATACATAATAAATAAAACTTATAAATGCATATTAGTAAATAACTTATAACCGTCCGTCAAAGATGAATTTTATAAGAAAACAACTATTTTGTATTATTAGAAGCAATGTAATACAATTTTTCTTAACTTCTATTTATTATTATTGACGGGCCTGTTGGTTAGTGACCCTGACTGCTAAGCCGGAGGTTATAGGTTCGATTCCCACCTAGAAAACATTATTGTGTGACGAGCGCGATCATTTGTTCTGTGTCTGGGTGTAATTTATCTATATTATGTATGTATTTAAAAATATATAAGTATGTTTATCAGTTATCATAGCACAGGCTTTGCCTAGTTTGTGATCAGATGGCCGTGCGTAAGATGTTTCAAGTTATTATTATGATTAAACTTATTTTCTGTCTATTCTTTTAAAACAGAAAAGAAGCTAAGTGACTATAAAATAAATAGAAGTCAGTTAAAAACATTACGATTTACCGAATTATAAACTTATATTTTAAAACTTAACTTAAAAATGAAACGTAAATTTTGACAACCCTATTTTTGTTTTGGTTATGGCTGTGATATAAAAGTATGTCCTTGAAACGGTGCTCCAGACGCAGTGAGTTCCTTGCACAGGCACCATGAAGGGACACACCACCATTTCTGTACTTGTAAGTTTATCAATTATAAATAAATAAATAATAATAAATAAAATAAACTTTATTCTGTAAGAGAACACAGCATACAACTTAATATAACTTACTTAATACTAACTTAATATAACTACAATAATATTACATTTTTTAAAAGCTTAAAACTATTGACGTACGTGTAACACTATACTACGCTATCTGTGGTCATTAGTATTTAGTAGTCTATGAGACTGTGATCATATTTGACGTGGCGCTGACGTGGTGATCACTATTATTTTTGGTACTATGTTTTGCTTGTAACCAAGCAGTCCTCTCAATTTTAACCACATAGATAGCTTGTGCGTATGAGAGTTGTACGCTGTGTCCCACAGAATAGGTGGACCCTCAGCATTTACTGTGATGGACATGGTCCGTCCCAGTACTGATTTTCATTATATCCCCGCATTAACTTTTAAACAATCAATTTATCCTTTATATTTAGAATTATTATAAGAAGGACAAACAAGGAATTTAAAGTTTTTCTAGCTGTTAAAGAGTTCGTATATTTTATGTAAGATTGTGTCAATGAACAATCAACTTTGAGTACAGTGACCAGTTATGATATTAAGCATAAATCATTTACAATAATTAACTTCTAAACTAGTATTATTAATTAATTACAATGCGTCTTAATCGTGATGAATTGTAAAAAAAACTGTTAATTTCTTCATTCTTAAATTTTCGCCCTTAGTTGGGGGGGGGAGGTACTTTTTGTCCCCGCCAAAAAAACGTCCAAGTCGGTTAATAAATACCGAAGTTCTGAAACAATAAATATATAAACAATCGAAATGACACCCTTCTCCTATTTTGAAGTCGGTTATAAAGTGCCTTTTATAAGTATTTATCTTACAAGTGCTAGTTATAAAAACAGCTGAGTAAAACACACCTAACCTTTAAAGTGTTTAAGTGGTCGCCAAGCCGCTTACTACTACGCTGAATGTTGTGGGTTCGATCCCCAAATGGGACAACACTTTGTGTGATCCACAAATGGTTGTTCTGAGTCTGGGAGTTCTTTGTATCCGTTTCATGTGTGTTTGTAAAGTTCCCCGCGACACAGGATGTATTCCTCATGCAAAAGAAAGTTAAGGTCCCTCTCATAGTTTATGATGATGGTGATGATGTACAGCTTTACTACCGTTTGGATCCTAAGAAAGACCTGTTGCCATGAGGAGAAGCAATCCATTTCCTTGACATCAAGTGCTGCATTAAACTGATATTCTGCTGTTACGAGTTGCAAGACCTATTTATCTTATGACTGTACGTTTCTGCAACTGTATGTATTCATTTAATATTTAAACTTTAAGTTTACACATCTCCCGTTTTCAGATTTTCATGATTGCTGTACACATGACAAACGCCTTGGCAGCCATGAAAGTTCTTCATATTCCAGAGAAAATTATAGGTGGAGTAATTGATATAGTACAAAACCACAAAAATAAGCCAACACAACAGGCCACCTTCCAGGGGCAAAATCAACAGCAATCACAACAAGGTTATGGCTGGAATTCAGGCTTCCAGACCCAAGGTCAAAACCAGCCACAATACCAATATGGAAATTACGGCTACCCGCAAACGGGCCCATATCCGCAAGGAAATTACGTAAATTCTGGTCAAGTTACTGGACCAGGTTATCAATCTATTGGTGGATCGCAAGCCCAAACTCAGAGCCAATATCAAAATTACCCACAAAACCAATCTGGTGGTCAGTATCAAGGTCAAAATCAGCAGTCTTCTGTACAGCAATCTAACCAGTTTCAAAACCAGATGCAGAATGGAAATCAGGGTCAACAAACTCAAATCCAAGTTCAAAATCAGATTAATAATCAGTTCCCTAATCAGAATTCACAGACTAGCTTGAATTTCCAAGGAACTCAGCATGCCAATAACCAACTAGTTGCACAAAACAAGCCAAATGGAAGCTACGGGACTAATCAGCAAACGCCCACCTTTACCAACAGTCAACAGTCAGGCAATTATATTCCTCAAGGCCAAGCATCCAGCCATTACATTGTACCAAATCAACCACAGGGGCAAATTAGCCAGACAACAAGTTTTGTTGGCCAAAACCATCAATCAACGCAGTTCCAGACTGGTACAGGAAGTTATGGCGGCTCTCAAGGCTTCCTAACCTCGACTGGTCATCATTCCGGTACTCCTGGTCCAACTTGCGTGTGTCAAGCTTTTACAAAGCCACAAAATGATATGCTCAAAGACGTTCCATCTCAAAGAAATGACAACAAAACTGAAAAACCTGTAGCGAATGAGTAAAGCTCTCGTTTCATACAGAATAAAGTAGATTAAATATTATTTTCAGTTCGTCAGTTACATGGTACTGCTAGCTATAGACATCGCTAATGGCTGACCAAAAGGTTAGATGATTGCTTATGTACCAAATGTTTCTATAAAACACAAAACAAGTTCTAAGTTTCGATATATTTGATACATTTACAAACAGTTTTTAAACGCGTTTTCTGTGATTATTGTGCTTTTAAAGACTGTCATGGCGGCCACAATCCGATTGACTTTCAAGTCAAACCAGTCACTCTTTATTAAATGTCAAAAGAGTGCTTTCTTTAGAATTTTGTTTGCAATTATCTTGAAATAACAAATTTTAAGTCATACTTTTCAATCATTTCAAGTTTGAGTTTGCGTTTAAAAATAATATCCACCATGAAAAAGTTAAGAAAACTGATTTATGCGTTTGTCGTATGCCATTGAGTTTCCATCTGATGAAAAGGCAAATTCTATGACATTGCATGCTTATCCACATTTTAATTTATGATATAATAAGGCTTTTACAATAGCGCATGTCTCTTGTAACTATTGTAACACCAATCTGACTGTAAAATGCTAAGAATAAATTTATTTATTTATTTTTGTATCTTGTAGTTTTATTATGGTCATTTAAATTTGATGTGTGTTGCTCGTTCTTCAACTCAAAATCCTCCATATCTAAAACGATTTAACCATAAATGGGCCGTGTTTATGCAAAGAGTGTTAGGCCCTATGTAATAAAGCTATCAAATAAAATTTATTTGTATTTGGAATTGCGCGCCAATCCACAGATAATTAAATCTAAAGATGCTGGTTTTAAAAATCTCCAACTTCATAGGTTAACCTATTATTATGAAGTTGAAGAGTTATTTGTTTGTTTGATTGAATACGCTATGCTCAGGAAGTCATCACATCATCACATCAACAGCCTATAACAGTCCACTGTTGGCCATAGGCCTCTCCTTAGAATGGAGGTTTTGGCCTACTATACCACGCTGGCCTGGCAGGATTTTCGATAGGTACACATTTTTTTTGCTAAATATTTGACAAAACAGATGATTGCTATTGTGTGTGTTGATCTACGACTTTAGAGTCTACTTAAGGGACGATTTCCAAAATTTTATTTTTGAATAAATCAATTTTCACTTGACTTTGATCCAAGTATGCAATGACAGTTCAAGTTATACTGGGCGATGAAATAAAAGAAAATATTCAGAACGGTCGAAATATATGTAAAATGGCGTAGTGGTTTGTGTAACGGACTGCTATTCCAAAGGTCGAGGGTTCGATTCCCGCGCAAGTCAAACATTTGTGTGCATGAACATTTAATGTTTGATTTGGTCTGGGTGTTTCTATGTATAATATGTATGTATTCACAAAAAAAAGTATATATGTATTTATATCAGTTGTCTAGTACCCATAGTACAAGCTCTGCTTAGTTTGGGACTAGATGGCGTTGTGTGAATGTAAAAAAAAAAAACAAACGTGTTTTTTTTTGTTAAAAACCTTAGAAGTATTAATACGTAAGTACGCAATACCGTACCACCGAAATACTACCTAAACCCTTTTTACTTCTAACTTATAACTAAATAGTTCAAAATAAATGACTGCACGGATGTCGTAGTGGCTTAAGCCGTGGTTTAAATCTAAAAAAAAGGTCATAATCTTTGATAAAAAGAATTTTGATTGATTTTTAATGCCATTTGTCTTTGTCTATGACGACATCACAATCATATGTGATGTTGCTGTGGCTAACACCAATCATTTCATCAAATGAATATGATTTAATAGTAGCAATAATTTTCATGTCTAGTGAAAAGCAACACGAGGTTTACTTAACACCGGTTTCCGTGAGGCCGTGGGATTACTCCGGTTGAGCTTCTTCATTCCACTGTAACTCCTAATTGCCTAAACATATTTTCATATATAGTTAGAAGAGGTATTGTTGTTGTTGAAGGAGGAATAAATTACACCTAGACATAGAAGATCATTTCGATCTTGCTAATCACTCAATAATTTGTCTTGGGTGGGAATCAAACCCATGACCTCTGGTTTAGTGCTCACTATCACATCATCACTCTGATCACAGGACCCATTGATTAAACCAATAGTTCAGTAAAGTATTTTTTATCAGTTACGTATCTAGTCCCACTTTTCAATATTAAAAATAAATATAAAAATAGAAAGTAAGTTTAGTGGTTTTTTTTTTTGTCTTAAATACGATTATTTTTAACCGTTATGGAAAAAGGAATGGGTGTTGTGAGTTAAAAGTGTCTCTGTGTCTGTCTACAAAATACTAATTTATTTCCTTGTATAACATAAAACTAAACAAGAGAGAAAATTCCGAGCTCGCATTTTAGACACCCTTGCAAATTCATCACATCCGTAAAGTTTTATATATTATTAGTGTATATACATATATATGTATGTAACTCACCAAGTATGTATTATGTATGTGTATTTCAGTGTGTATATAAATCCATGTATATCTGTCCTGCTGTTTCTGTCCATCTCCTCAATTATTATTATCGTTTTAAAACAAAAAAACTTAATTTCTAATGCAGCTACTCAGACATTCCACCCAAAGGTTGATTGGAAGAAAATGCCTGTGGTATTAAGTCCGCCATTGTACAATAAAACTGTAATTTGTGCATAAAGACTGACTTTGACTGCACGGATGGCGTATTGGTATAAGCGGTCGCCACGCCGCTTACTACTACGATAAGTGCTGTGGGTCCGATCCCCACATGGGACTACACTTTGTGTGATCCACAAATTGTTGTTCTGAGTCTAGGTGTTCTTTGTGTCCGTTTCATGTATGTTTCTAAATTCCCCCGCGATACAGGATTTACTTATTACTAATGCGGGAATTGTCTTAAAAAAAAAAAAAAAATTATATAAGTTTTGATATGTTCGAAATTTGAAAATGGAATGCATCTGCACAAACCAACTGGCTGACTGATGAAACAACGTACGTTATTTTGACAATATTTATTTTATTTCTTCCTCTTGCACCCTTTTTTTAGGGTAGTTTTGAAAAGTAATAAAAAACAAAGTTTTTATGAAGAATATTTACTATGAGTTTTCAAACGCTACTATCGAAAATAACGAAGTTTGCACACTCAGAATGGGTGGCATTTCAAAAATTCTTTCTTAGTGCTCACCTGCGTCACCTAAGGAACATTTGTGCAAAATTTCATGGTTCTAGACTCTGCAGTTACAGCTGTGCGTTGCTCGATCAGTCAGAGATTCAGTCTGTCAGTTTCTTCTCTGTCTCTTCGGCCTTTAGTGTTCAATTTATTTAAAAATTGAACACTAAAGGACGTTTACAGCAATTAAAAAAAAATTAGACGTATTATACTGTCATAAGTTCCCGCTTTTTCGTGTGCTACAATGTATCTTAAACGTAAACATTTGCGTGCTATGATATATTACGACTTTAAATGGTTTTTATCTAAAGGTTTAAGCTTAGAACGTTTAAAATTAACTTCAGGTGAGTCTGCTCCTTCTCGGGCAACCATTTTTAGATAGTTTAACGAATTTAAAAGGGGGAAAACAACCCTTGAAGAGGATGAAAATGTCTGAAATGCTTGTGCGATATGACCCACGAATTACATACAGAGAAATAGAGAAATCTTAGGCATCCCTTTGGTTAGTGTTCACACCATATTACACGGACATTTTAGAAGGAGGAAGCTTTGTTGTCGTTGAATACCTCGTTTGCTCTTCGAAACGGAAAGAGAAGTCCATGTGGAATGGTGCGTCTACGTTTTAAAAATGGAAGGTCAGGACATCATCATCATCATCAACAGCCTTTAATAGTCCACTGCTGGACATAAGCCTCTCCTGAGAAAGGAGGTTTTGGCCTACTATACCACGCTGGCCAGACGGGTTGGTAAAGGGTTTGTGTCAACTTTTCCTTCTCTTTGCAGTGCTGTTGTCCTGCTTAGTTTTTTCCCTTAGTCGGCTCTTACGACACCCACGGGATGAATAGGGGTGGTGACACTTTGTATTCTTAATCCGTCACCACACGGAGGTCAGGACGTGTTCCTCAAACTATTACTGGATAACACATAAAAACATAAAAACATGGATATATCAATATTATCCGGAAAGTACGAAGCGTTTCTCGGTATGGATATTTCCAGATGGCCAGTTGCCAATAAAATTGCATTGCAAAAAAATGGTGGCGAGTTCTTTTTTACGGAGTATACATGTTACAACATCAATGTTAGAGAATTGTAAGTCTGTTAACTCAGATTTCTATACCACAGTCGCATTACCAAAAATTTCAAAGATGTGCAGGTGTGTCGATCCCCGGGTTCCGGAGATTGATGCTGCACCACGACAATACGTCTTCACACTCTTCCCTCAGAACAAGGGCGTTTATTCAAGAATCGGGTATTGAAACCGTACCTCACCCGCCTTACAGCCCCGACTCAGCTCCTTGTGACTTCTTTTTATAAAACATAAGATAAAAGATACGTTTTTTCAAGTGCCGAAGAAGCGACTGCTGCCTACGAATCAGCAATTTTTGACCTGTGGGAGAAAGACTGCAATAAGTGTTTCTTCGACTGGTTTAGGAAGATGGAAACTTGTATAAAGTGTGATGGAGAATATATTGAAAAAATATAGTATAAATAGTTTACTTTTTGCGTGTCTCAAAATTTAAAAAGTGACCAACGTAAAGGGGGAAGGCGAGCTCAAGGAGCCGCAAGGGAGTCACAGGCGCTTGAGGTACAGGTGTCTGTGGACAGCGATAGTCACTTACCATCAGACAACCCGTCGACTCGTTCGCCCTCCTATACCTTAAATAAAAAGAAAGTGTGGTGTCGTGGGACACCCGATAGGAACGAAGTTGTGACGATCGAGTAAAACTGATTCGACACGATTTTAATTACAACGTCATCTATGAAAGAGGCTATTACCTACATATTTTTCAGTTGGTTTCTAATTAAAACAATTTATACATTGGTAAAATCTCCTTGAGAAATGATTTCCTATCTATTCGATGGATGGCGCTGAATGACTGTCAAGTGACAATTCAAAATAAATACTGAGATGAAAAGTAATGATTTCCTATCTATTCGATAGATGGCGCTGAATGACTGACATAAAAAGTGTCGTTACAACTTTTCGTGAGAATTTTTTCCCCCTTTCACAACGCGCGATAAGGAACTTCGTTCCAAAAAAACTAATTCTACTTCATGTTTTGTTTTTGGTTTTTTTATTTATTAATCAACTGTTTTACACTAGTTATCTTAATACTAAACTCGCCAAACTTTGACGTTTGATGGCGAGATGCGCCCTTTTTTATACAGATAACACTAAATTAATACTACTTACAACCAAAATTATATAATCTTATATTATATTCTTAAATAATAATTATACAAAACATTACCATTATTGCGGACCTATCCCTCGCTGACAGTGGATTCGACGTTCCCCTGGTCATCGACAAGTACTTCAATTTTGTTTTTAGCACACCTTTGTTTATCTTAGTATTTTTTTTTTTCTAACAAGCTAATTTCATTGAAAACTTTAGGCACTAAAAACTTCGGGGGGGGGGGGGTCGTGTACCTGTTGTTGTAGATGGCCCGAGGTATGTCGGGGCACCAGGGACTTCCTTTCTAGGGTATACCTGGTTCCCCGGCTATTAGTACCCGAGACAGCGTGCGGTTTTAGTCGGTTCGAGTCCGACATGCCACCGATAGGTGGTATCCGAGGGGATTTCCGGTACTAAAAACTTCGACGTTCGTTCTCCGTAATAGTTGGACACCTTCGTTTGTAAGTCAGGATCCTGATACATACGACTTACGAAGGCTTCGAGCAATAACTTGTATAGTCTGATTCCAACTACCGAAGTATAGGACCGACGGTCAAGTGCTTAGTGCCTGCCATCCGAAGGTCGTGGGTTCGATTCCCACCCAGGACAAATAATTGTGTGATGAACACTATTATTAGTTCTGCGTCTGGGTGTAATTTATCTACAATATGTACCTATATATTTAGAAATTTACGTTACAAATACCCTACCCTATACCTACCAGCTCGTCTGGCTAGCATGGTATAGTAGGCCAAAACCTCCTTTTTAAGGAGAGGCCTGTATCCAGCAGTGGACTGACGATGATTAATGAGGTACATGAATTTGGCAAATAATTAACTTTAAAAGAAGTGTAACTGACTTTAACGCGCGTTTATCGTGATGAATTGTAAACTATATTCTTCGTTTGTTAATTTTCACCCTATTTTATAGTATTTTTTCTTTCCAAATTTCAATACCCTTACAAACAAAGAAAAATATTTTCCACTAAGATAACAAACATGAAAAAAATATGGGATTGTTTTAATCAAAAAGTCAACTTCCGTATTAGAAATGCAAACAAACATGAAATGGACACAAATAACACTCAGACTCAGAACAACAATTTGTGGATCACACAAAGTGGTGTCAGATGTGGGGATCGAACCCACAACACTCAGCGCAGTATCAAGCGGGACGGCGACCGCTTCAACCACTACGCCAACTTTCTCTCTATCGTCAAGTCACAGATCAACAAGCAAAATAGGAACCATCTCTGTTTTGTCAAATATTTAGCAAAATAAATATAAACGTATCGAAAATCTATGATATGCCTGTGCCGATATACAACCGCCCGCTTTCAAGGTGTTGAGAAGAAAGGGCAAACAAACTCAAGACCACTCTTTTTTAAATTAAGTAATGGTCTGGTTACCATACCTCTGGCTCAGAATTTATCTAGCAATTAGGGTTCCGTACCTCAAAAAGTAAAAAAGGAACCCTTATAAGATCACTTTCTTGTCAGTCTGTCCGTCTGTCGGTGTGTCACCACCGATTTTCTCAGGAACGGGTAAACCTAGCAAGTTGAAATTTATACCAGATACTGAGGTCTATGGTCCCTATTAGGTGTATAAAAATCAAGGTCCTGAGTCAACATGATAAAAAGATATGGGCAAATTTCGATTTTTCGCGAAATCTTGTAAGTACCGAAATTTACCTTAATTTTCAGCTTTTTTATTTTTCAGAATTTTCTTTATACTTGTGCTATAAGACCTTACTTTCAACCAAAATTGACAATTCTAGGTCAACCGGATGTACCCTATAGGTTTTGGGTCGAAAACCTATATGATAGTTATATAAATCTAAAGGTAAAATAATAGAATCACGAAATTTGGCAAAAAGAAACGTCTCACAGCACAAATAAAGGAATAATTCTAAAAAATAAAAAAAGTTGAAAGTTAAGAAAAATTTTGGTACTTACAAATTTTCGCGAAAATCTACATAAAATCTGGGTAGGTACGGAACCCTCGACGCACGAGTTCGACGCATACCTGACCGGTTTTTTTATCAGACTACAGAGCTAAAGCCCATTCTATTTATAGGTTTCGACCCTGACCTGCTAGAACTATTGCCTACTCTCCTCTACCCATGTGTATTAGTAATATCCCTTTACCTTGGCAATTTTCCTTTTTGATATACTCCTATTTTTCCCAACTTTATTTTCCAGTGTCCAGTTGACTACAGTATACTTGGCCCTATTACGTAACTATAATCTTTTAGTTGAGAAAAAAGTGAGTGAATACCCTTGTGCCTGCCTCTTTAATTCTAATAGCGTGATGTAGGTACATACGAATCATCACCATCATCGAATTTATGGTTGATGATTTTGTTTTTGTAAAAGATTGAAAAATAATATGATTGGTTTTTATCTTGAAATTGGAATTACTATAAATAATATTTAGAAGATTATAATGAACTAGCTGACCCTGCAAACGTTGTTTTGCTATTTACATTATTTAATTATTATTTTTTTTTGAATTTCTTAAAATATTTTCTTAGCTGACCTCTACTCGGTGAAAAGAATATTCCTACCAAATTTCAAGTCTTTAGCTCTAATGGTTCCAGAGATATCGTGATGAGTGACTATATACGTGGAAATCTCTTATATATATATAGATTTTAATCTGTTTAATTAGTTCAGTCAGCAAATAATATATGTGCTATATCCAGACTCGACGACAAATTTACCAAATACCATGAACTTAAAAACGTCTCTAAAACCGCACAAATAAAGCTTATTAGGCGGCAAATGTTTAAATTGCTACCCTATTTCCTGACGATCGAACCAAGACCTACCACACCCCTCTGAATTTACACAAAGGTGAATAAAAAGGGGCTTCATGCGAGCACAGAGGGGTCACACCAATTTGGCATTGTATTTAGGTCTGAGATGTGCGCGCGCCGACTTACGTAATCGTTACGTAAGGCCGGTACGGGGTTGCAGGGGTTGCTAGGCGGGAGGGGGGTGGGAAAAGCGAGGTGCGGGGAGTACACAGGGCGAAGGCACCGACAATCGATTCCCGTCCGCAGTCCGGCTCGGCGTTCGAACATGGCAGACAAGACAAAGGTTGCAGAACAGTATTACGCTCCTCCTCCGGATCTAGGAAAATGGGAGTCACTCAGGATTTTCCTGTGGAACTCCGAGACCGGACAATTCCTTGGCCGCACGGGATCGAGTTGGGGTAAGTGATATATAGGGATTTTTATGATAGACTATGTATGATACCTTTGCCTTTTTTTTGGTTTGGTGGGAAAATCGATTAATTATCTATGAAATTGTTTTGTTTAAATATTGCAAACTATTCCGTGAAAACTTACATGTGACCTCGGTAACCGTCGGCCAGATTTTATACTTGATTAATGAATTAAAATATACTACAAATACACAAGAGTATGATGAAAACATATTATGAATAAATTTAGCAAAAAGGTTATTCTCTCTTCTTTTTGTAAATAGCCATTTTTGCGTCATTACTGGGTAGTGAAAGTTTAATAAGATCAAATACATATATTATATTAAAATGAAGGAAATTAGTAAAGTTTTTTCCTTTTTCCTCGTTCTATTCAGTTTAATTTATTTTTTACCGCGACAAGGATTTTCTTTGATGTTACGTAAGTCAATGACCACATTATACTGGATACAAAGCTTTGTGTAAGTATTTATATTTGTTTAATATCAATGAACTCTTTTATCTGTACAGGGCGCGATGAAAATAACGTATAATTATATAGTTTATATTTAAATTTATTGTACATTGCTAAATTTATATCGTTTTGTTTTCGCGCCATGACAGAGGCGCGCGCCGGTAGATGATGCGCGCGCAGCGTCCTTGCTACGATCGATCCAAGGACGAAAGAAAATTGATGGAAATATCTGACCTTTCAAACAGGATTCGAAATTCAAATAAATTAAATATGGAATCTTAACGTTAGCAATCTAATTCTAATTACAAAAAGTTAAAAAGGATTGTCCATGGTTTTACGTTTTTGAATTACATTTATTTTTAGTATCACCACATCCGATGCTGAAACCACCACAGTCACACCACCAGCCAAATCGGACAATTTCTTTTGTAGTTGGCTAAGAATCGTGTGACCCAGCTAATTATTGACAATAATTGCAGCGTACGGGTAATTACACCAGTCTACCAAAGCTTGTTTGCCTACTCAATGATATAAAATAATATGAACTAGAGACACCTGAATTGGAGCCGTCTTCTCCCAAACTATGGTACCCAGACAGCTGATGAACATACTTATAAATTATTAAATATACTCTTATTATCAATCAAATATAATCAGACACGAAACACATGACAGAACGCCTGTTGGTCTAGTGGTTAGTGACCCTTATTGCTAAACCACAGGTCGTGGGTTCGATTCCCACCTAAGACAGATAATTGTATAATGATCGCAATCATTTGTCCTGTGTCTGGGTGCGATGTACACTTATAATTATTATGTATGTATTCAGAAACAGATATATGTATGTTTTTTTTACCATAGTTCAGGCTCTGCCTAGTTTGAAAAGAAAAAGTTTTTTTTTAGTATTACCATTTTTTAACCTTCTCAATAATAAATAAATTTGTAACTGCCTATAATGGGTTCATCTGTGTATCGAACCTGCTGTACTTCACTCGATGGCAATCGACGAGGTAACCAGTAAAATCACTGTGCCATGGGTCTCGTCAACTAATTTGGGTTGTCATAAAAAAATCTTAGCGTAATGAAGAAGGATAAAAAAAGATTTTAAAGATATACCCGGATTTGTCCGGATAAATTGGACATTCAAATAAATGCTGATGTTTAAATCTTTATAGGGTTGTCACAAAAAAATGGAGATAATGGAGAAGGTTGAAGAAAAATGTGAAAGCTATATCCGGATCCGGATAAATTTTACATAAAAATTAAATATTTAAGGGTTGTATAGGAAATTTGGTGAATAATTTAAATTATTACATAAATTTTATTTTGTAACATGTGATATTTGGTATGAAAAACAATTTCTTCATTTGCGAAAATGGGTAGGTGTACAGAGGTTTCTCCATCTTCCGTCTTTTTTAAAAGTAGAACCTACGTTAGATGAACTTGGTTGTAGGAATGTCCATTATCATCATCATCATCAGCCTATCGCAGTCCACTGCTGGACATAGGCGTCTCCCATTGCACGCCACTTAGATCGATTGTCGGCTTCTCGCATCCAGCTCCTGCCAGCCATCTTGCGCAAATCGTCACTCCACCTGGCCTGCCCAACTATCTCTAAAATATGAACATAAAAATATATTGACAAAGGAAGGAACTATTATTTAGGGCTAGCTGACTGTGCTAGTTAGCTAATTAGGGTTAGCTCTCGTACGTCAAGATTGAAAACGGTGAGAATACAAAATAATACACCGAGCAAAAAACTCGACAAGTTGCAGAGTAAAGAAACTTTTTTTTTTAGAAAAGACAACTCTCGCATTAGGAATACATTACTGTGTCGCGGGAGACTTTACAAACATACATGAAACAGACACAAAGAACACCCAAACTCAGAACAACAATTAGTGAATGACACAAAGTATCGTCCCATGTGGGGTTTGAACCCACAACACTCGGCGCAGTAGGAAGCGGCGTGGCAACCGCTTAAACCACTACGCCATCCGTGCGTGATGTCTAGTAAAAGCAAAAAATATTACAGAAACTCTAGTATAGTTTTAAATAAGTATATATATTTTATGATAATGATGACAATTACATCGGGAACGGGTCGTGAACCAACAAGTGATCTTAAGTTGTTGTAACTATACTAATCGCGATAACTTTTATTGCACGATTCAGAAATAGTGTACTTAAGTCGGTTTTTCTTCACTAGATGGCGCTCAGATTTATTTTCTGGTGTATTGATCATTCAATCACCTTATCGCCGGCTATCCCACACGGAACAAACTTCTCTCCCAATGTGTCCCCCCATCCTCTGCCTCGTGCATCCAGTTAATCCCAGCTCTTTTTTTTCAAATCGATCGAATACAAAACCATCAAGTTCAATTGCAGATGCACAGTTTTGGTTTTGGCTTCGACTTGCGCATTAGGGCAGCAAACTGCAAGCAAATCATTTAAAATCTTTATTTTTCATATGAAATTGATTTTATCTAATTTGTGATTTTCTTTGTGCTAAAATTAAAATAATTTCACACTCTTATATATTATTTACTCGTTAATTAAACATGTAATAACCTCAAGCCGTAACGTTATTCTTAGATCATTATGATTATTATATTATTTTATGAAAACTGTAGTTTCATTTACGTTAATATGACCAATAACTGTCAAATAAATTTCCATTTCATTCAATATTAACATTTGTGACGTCATTCCTTGCCTTGCCCAATTTTTTTCGTTTTGCACAATATACCTATTTGTTTTATTGTATTTATTTTACACTGGAAATAAAATGTCTATTAATTAATAGGAAGTTGTAATTAAATCGTTCGTCGTTCTTTACCGTGATTTTTATTGTGGTTTTGTACTCTAGGAAATATCGATAAACCATATTTATAACATAATTTTCCTTAAACAAACTAAAATAATTTTTATGAAAGATTTAATTGAAACAATTTTATGACGTATTATTGTTAATGTATTATCACTAAATGGTGTATGTCCGTTATCAAATTTTGAAAGTAAAATTTACCAACTTCTCGCTTTCTGATTAAAGCTAAAATGTTGCGAACATTTATAAATCAGATGGCAATACAATATCATTTTAACTGATACTATGACGAACCCGAAAACTGATTATGGAAACATTGTAATAAAACGACGTAACCACATCTAGCTTGCGCTGGTTTGGTTCAACTCGAGAAGATCTCTATTCTTAGATAATCAACAATCCAGGGTCTAATAGTTGATCTCGAAAAGACCATGAGAACTCTTCATTTTCTCCAGTATGTTTAAGCTCATTTTATTTGTCTTAACAAGTACTGTAGCCATACACAGTGACCACGATCGGTTGAAAAATTTGTCATAATCACGACCGATGCAAAGTAACCAGAACGCATAGTTACTTAAAAACGAAAAACGAATAAACAGTTTTTAATTACTTATTTTCTGAAATCTTGCCGGATATTTGCTTACTGTGGAGGAACGAGTTTCATATCCCTTCAACACAAAGGGAGGATCCTCCGACCAGGCGAGGTGATCATGCCTGGCGGGCCGCGGCTTGGCAACGCTTGATGTTGGGAACTTGTATACCTATATGGTAACCGGCGAGAGAATTCTTCATATCGCGATACAGAATTGGAAATCCTCATTCAGGAGTTACTCCATAATTCGGTGTGTCTTCGTTAGATGGCGCTGTAGTATGTTTCTGTTTCTTTGTATTTGTGAGTCGCCACACTTACTTTGCGGTATTTATATCTATAGTAACTTTATCCGGATTAACCTCTACTTCGTTACCCGTGAAACATATTTTTTCACTTGTATGTTCAGTAAATTCAAATCGTATTCAATCCAAATTCCTTTTGCGTAAACAACTGCACACTGTTACATTAGTGAGTCAAGCTGGTCCTGCAGTTTCTGGCAGCTCGCCAGAACATGTTGTTCACTCCAGTAATAAGTTAATTGGCTGTCAAGTCTAAGCGGCTGTCTTTGGAAAACCAAAAATATTTAAAAAAATAAGAAATTGTTGCGTATGACGTCATAATGCCGTGGTTTCGCACCGGTCGAGACGGCCCATTTGTTCCGGAACATTATACATTACTGTAAAAACCTATTTTGATCATAAAAACTACTACAAACAGTAATTAACAACTACTTTAAAAGTCAATTTGATTACTTTAAATCCATTGCGGGAAAGGTCGATAGGTTAGATCTCTTTGCGCATGTCCAATGACCGTTCTATTCGGACATTGCGCTGTGAGTACTTCATATTGACAGCAATGCACACCGTTGCATTCGATATTGATGAGCTGTTCACTGGTAAATCGTCAGTTGTATTGATCGGTGGTATTAAAAGGCGAGTTGTCCTTTGTTGTACTGTCGAGTTATCTTTTACTGCCTCCTCTAGAATTATGAAGAGGGGGTTGGGTCTCAGTATCTTCACTCATTCGATAAAAAGTAACTTTCCTTTGAGCCTTTTTCCCAAACTAGGTTGGGTCGGCTTAAAATCTACTACTACGAGTATACGGCTGAACTTGGATTTTTCACGCGGCGGGATTGCCATCAGATCTCAACAACTCAAGTACTAAGCGAAATAAAAGTTCTGTAGAAAGACTGTTGTGGGACTTTTAAGGACTATAACTATCCGTAACAATTGCCACAGATGTTCGTATGGCAACCAGGACAGATAAAAAACAACGAATGAATTAATTGAAAATTGAATGAATGACTGCACGGATGGCGTAGTGGTTTAAGCGGTTGCCACGCCGCTCACTAGTACGCTGAGTGTTGTGGGTCCGATCCTCACGTGGGACGACACTTTGTGTGATCCATAAATTGTTGTTCTGAGTCTGGGTGTTCTTTGTGTCCGTTCCATGTTTGTTTGTAAAGTCCCCCGCGACACAGGATTTATTCCTAGTGGGGGAGTTGCCTTTTATAAAAAAGAAAACAAAATAACAGCAGTTTTCTGTAAGGCTATGGTATCATACCGGTCGAACTCTCCCGTGATAGAAGTAAAACCCAGATGTAGAATTTGTATATTTAGCCTTTTTTTTCCGTGTGGAAATCCCCTCGGAAACCACCTATCGGTGGCATGTCGGACTTGAACCGACTAAAACCGCACGCCGTCTCGGGTACTAATAGCCGGGGAACCAGGTATACCCTAGAAAGGAAGTCCCTGGTGCTGTATATTTAGCCTGTACTATTGTTACCGGACTGCTGATAAACATACACATATATTTCTAAATACATACATATTATAAAAATGCTGATAAAAATCTGTCCGTGTGGTGACGGATTAAGTATACAGTGTCACCACCCCTATTTATCCCGTGGTTGTCGTAAGAGCCGACTAAGGGAACTAACTGCACAGGACAACAACACTGCAAAGAGAATTAAAACTTGAAACAAACTTTATACCAACCCGTCTGGCCAGCGTGGTATAGTAGGCCAAAACCTCCTTTCTAAGGAGAGGCTTATGTCCAGCAGTGGACTATTAAAGACTGTTGATGTGATATATAAATCACACCTAGACACATCGAATTGTGCTCAACATTTAATTATATTAATCCTTTTCGGGAATCGACCCAAAGTAGCAACAACCCTGTCTATATCTTAAAACAAATTGCCTCAAGGGACATAATAATTATCTTCTATACGCTAAGCAATAATAATATCACACTCGTTATGGCAGGAATTCGCACTGGAACGCAAATTTTAACGAGTTATTGCAACATCCACGGAATAAGGACATGGCTATAAGAAAGTGTTTCAAGGTATCAGCGGCAGACAGACCTACTAGATGTCGGTCTATTAACTTACTTTTCATATTTTTTGGGCATTCAAACCCTCCGGACATATAGTCCGTGTATTGACGGATTAAGAATACGGAATGTCACTACCCCAATTCTTCCCGTGGGTGTCGTAAGAGCCGACTAAGGAAACAAAACACCGCAGGACACCAGCACTGCAAAAAGAAGGAAAACTTGACACAAACCCTATACCAACCCGTCTGGCCAGCGTGGTATAGTAGGCCAAAACCTCCTTTCAAAGGAGAGGCCTATGTCCAGCAGTGGACTATTAAAGGCTGTTGATGATGATGATGACGATGATGGTCATATTGGAAACTAATGATATAAACCAGTTTCCAAAATATAATTATTCCCCTTTTATCCAAACATTGGTTTCCAATAAAGAAAAATAATTCTATTGTCGAAACTGGTTACCAACCCAGAATGTTGGATCTTCTTTTGAAAGTCATCCAATATACATATCTACAAATTCCTTGATTAGAAAGATTTTTCTGGCTGTAACTAGCTAGGAAATTTCATCCACACCACCTTTTTATGTAGAAATAAATTCTATTACTTTACTCATTTTAACATAATTTGACCTAAGGACATGGGATCAAATGATTGTAGGTCCAATGTGGAAAATTAGTTTTTTTATTTGAGAGGGTATACTTCCCGGTTGGTGTTTGATGGTGGCGGATTAAGAATACGGAATGTCATAGCCCCTATTCATCTAATGGGTGTCGTAAGAGCCGACTAGAAAAGCAAACTTGCTTCCCTAGTCAGCTCTTACGACACCCAGTAAAATTTTCCTTCTCTTTACAGTGCCGTTGTCCTGCGTAGTTACGAACCACCCCTACTTATCCCGGGTGTTTCGTAAGAGCCGACTAAGGGAGCAAACTAAGCAGGATAACAGCACTGTAAACAGAAGGAAAATTTGACATAAACCCTATACCAACCCCTCTGGCCAGTGTGGTATAGTAGGCCAAAACCTCCTTCCTGCTGAGGGCTGTTGATGATGATGATGACTTCCCGTTATGTCTAATTCAAATTTTGAGAATAAATAACAGCTCTAAGGCTGGCAAATAAGGAAATCAATACAGTTCATTATAATTCGCGCGTAATAGGCGCATTGAAGTCGAAAATACCCCTTATAATACCAAAATACTTGTACTCATTCTGATATACTAACTATAAAAGCAGCAAAAATACAAAAATGCCTGAATCTGTATTTTTTAAGACACAATTTTACGTAAACTTGGCCAATCGCCAGCTGTGATAAGATCGCTTCGCTTCGATATTATCAAGAATTGGAAATTACACAAATTTGCTGTAGTTTAAGATGTTTAAAATGCGGTCAATGTTTGGCCGGCAATTTGCTAGGAAACTCCTATTGTCATCACTTGTAGTCAATTATCGGGACGATGCTGTTCGCTACATACTACATATACACATATATACTACGTATACTACATAATATACCTATGTATGTAGGTCGATACCGGCGTATACAGGCGACACCATGGTTATATGTGATGTCTTGTTAATTAGTTAACTGAAATTTTTGTTATAATAAAACTTTACCTGATTGAATTCGTTTCCATTTGACTTTTTGGAGTTCCTTTCTATAAGAGAATTAACGAATACTTTGATATTATATTTATTTCTGTGCTGTTTTACTTTTTTATTGGGATAAAGAATTCGATTAAAACTTCGGAGACAAAATATCGTAACTTGTGAGTTATGGTTTTTTAGCAAATTGCTTCTGATTGTTAAATGCTAGTACTTGTATCGACACGAACTGAACAGTAATCATAGTTCCTTCGTATGATGATGTAAAGATAATATAATCTAATCTCTCGTTCTGCTGTTCACAGCTAAAATCCTGCTGTTCTACCTGATCTTCTATGCGATCCTCGTGGGCTTCTTCGTTGCTATGCTGGCAATCTTCTACCAAACCCTGGATTCGAAGATGCCAAAATGGCAGCTGGAAGGTTCTCTGATCGGAAATAATCCAGGTAAAAACATTTGATAAATTAAATTTATTTTGCCTTTTGTTTCTCACTTTACTAATAGTTTCTCTGGAAACTCTTTTACTAAAAATATCTTCTATTTTATTCAGGACTTGGCTTCAGGCCCATGCCAGATTCTGCCAACGTGGAGAGTACCCTAATCTACTACAGGGCGAATGACAAGGGCTCTGTTCTGAAGTGGGCTAAAATCATTGACGAGTTCCTTGATGGTAAGTTTAATTCCTCAGAACAGCACAGAGTAGATACCAACGAGAACTGACTTGGTAATATAGAGAAGCATTCCTGAGACAAGAGTGCTTCGGATATTGGAGATATCCTACAAGTACATGATCACCATCCGTTTACATTGCATTCGACTCTTTATTCTAATATTTCACGACACTTATGACTTCGAGTTGCAGGCGTTCATTGGCGGCGGTAGTCACTTTCTATCAGATGACCCGTCTGCTCGTTTGCCCCCTCTTCCATTAAAAAAAACCTTTTATAGGATATCAATACACTCTTATCTTAATATATATATTGAGTTCCGTCATTTATAGTGACGGCTCTTCTGTGCTATGATACTCGTACATGATATGCTTACATGCTAGGCTTTGCTTGATTTTCCTCTTTGTTAAAGGATATAGGAATAGCACAGAAGATCATTCTAATATATGCTAGAATACAGTTGATATACTTAACCAGAAAACCTGCTCTATTCTCTACATTTTGATAATAGCAAAACGAGGGTCTTTTTTGATTAGTAAACGGTAATTTTCAAGTAAAATTAATAAATAAATTCTCTGAAATAAATGTTTTTATTCACTTGGATATCGGACTACCATAGACTTTTCCTTAGTTAACAATTTTAATGAGAAACTGCAAATAAATACAGCACGAAATGGTTGTTACTTTCAAGATGATGTCACTGCTTTAATCTAATAATTATACTCTATTCAAGAATACCGCAAGAAGGGAAGCGGCAGTGGAGAGGCAAGTGGCGCTGAAAACCGAGTGCCCTGCTCTCCCACCAGTTCAGTCACCAGTGAGAAGCAAGTCTGCGATGTACCGGTCGATGACTTTTATCCCTGCACATCTGCCAAACAGTATAATTATGAGGAAGCTGGACCTTGTGTCTTCTTGAAGCTGAATAAGGTAGGAATTAACACAGGTTTACCTAGCACAGAAGTCAGGGACTTCATAAACTATCTGTACTGTCACTATAAATATGATAATAAAAAAAAATGTATCACATAATTACGGAGAATACTGCAGCTGAGAATATAATATTCTTTATTGTACACCAATTACAATATGTTAGATAAATATTACAGACGGATATGTACAATGGGCGACCTTATAGCTAAAGGCAATCTCTTACAGGCAACCTTTGGATGGACAAATCGAGTGTAAATTGCAAGAAACAATAATAAATAACTATATATACACACACATACATATACATACATAAATAATATATACATTTTATATTGAAAACCCTGAAATCATGTAGTCATGTACAGTTATTGAAAGCAAAGAGTAGGTACTCAAGAACCTAAGTAGTGATCTTTGACCATATTCTTAAATTTGCAGCTTAGTCCATTCAGAGCAATTAACTGAATTATTACCACGGGAGAGGCATGCTTCGGCACGAATGGGCCGGCTCGACCGGAGTAATACCACGGCCTCACAGAAAACCGGTGTTAAGCAATTCTTTCGTTGCCTTTCACTGAGTGAGTGAGGTAACCGGAGCCCAAATCCCCCCTCCCGCTGACTCGAGCGGGATCCGAGGGACTCCAAGGGCAGCAACGCACTTGTGACTTTTGAGTTACAGCTGTCCATGGGTGGTTGGTAGTTGCTTACCATCAGGTGACCCGTCTGCTCGTTTGCCCCCTCATACCATAAAAAAAAAGGTTCAAAATGCCCTCCAACTGTTAGGAAGGTCTTCGGAAAGCTGAACATAATTTCTTGAATTTCAGCTAGGAATATTATCGACTAAGTCACCTTTCAATAAAGAAAGCTTTATTGAATTCGCTCCATCGATTTAGAAACTTAGATAACATCGAAGTTCATAAACCGATGGAGCAAAGTCATTCTATTTGCGTGCGGCAGTCTCCTGTTTCCGCCAGGAGTGATCTGGTATTAAAAACGGTTTAAAAAATATTACTATACTTCATAATAAATAAGTTAATAACTTATTTTAAACATCAATATCATTAATTTACACCACATCACATCAACAGCCTTTAATATTCCACTACTGGACATAGGCCTCTCCTTAGAAAGGAGGTTTTGGCCTACTATAGCACGCTGGCCAGGGTTGGTTTGTGTTAAGTTTTCCTTCTCTTTACAGTGCTGTTGTCCTGTATAGTTTGCTCCCTTAGTCGCCTCTTACGACACCCACGGTATGAATAGGGGTGGTGACACTCCGTATTCTTAATCCGTCACCACACGGATATTTAATGTTACTGTCAGCAAAAACAAAGTAAAACACGTTTCATTTGGAAATATCTACTACACAAATACTAAATTATTCTTTTAAATTGCAATTTCCAGATTTTCAACTGGGTGCCACAGCCATACAACAACACCGAGGAACTACCTTCCAATATGCCGGATGATCTCAAACAGCACATCAAGACAGTTGTAAGAATACATGTGTACATTTAGGCCAAAATGCTTAAAAAATATTTGGCAACAATTTGTGTGGGCAACACTATTTTGTGGGTTTTTTTTTCATAATTTTTTTAGACACACCATAGAGTAAGCACCCTATTTTCAGGTTCTATTCTCAAACCTAAAAGACGAACACTTATTAATCCAATTCTTCATCAAACATGGCGTCTAGAAATGAATGTTCCTAAACTTCCTAACCACATAATATAGTCCTTGATTGTCCGCCAGACACAGTTTGGACTTTGGCACATACAATAGCCAATATAATGAATCGCGTGTTTCAATGAAATGACTAATTATTGATCTTTATTACATACTTACATTAATTTTAGTCCCACTTATGTAATGGCCGTCGGCCGGGCACAGAATTTTATTTCTGACTAGCTTTTGCCCACGGCTGCGCCTGCGTGTATGTCAGTTATGGCGGGAAAACGAAGCCTATGTTACTGGCTGATAATTCTTAAAATTGGTTTAGTGGTTTCACTTCCACATTTATAATAAAAGTATGGATGTAATGTTTTTTAGTTAAACCATTAGTTTTAGTTTTTAGTTTAGTTGACCACTGGGAGAATACTAAAAATGTTGCCAAACGCTCGTAATCTATATGATTTCTTAAATATGACTTGAATGTTCAAAATTTTTAAGGCCTAACATATTTTCTAATCTTTATGTGATAATTTGACTCGCAGCCGTGATTGAGATGTACACAGTTAGCCCAATCCCATGTTGATTGTATAGTCATTGACGATTAGTTATACTATAATTTGTAGTTAAAAGCTTTTTGACATTACATTTTTTTTCCATCTTTTCAGTCTGGCAAACCTGAGGCAAACACAGTGTGGGTATCTTGCGAGGGAGAAAACCCTGCGGACGTAGAGAACATCGGGGCAGTACAGTACATACCCCGGCGGGGCTTCCCCGCTTATTACTACCCTTTCAATAACAAGGAGGGATACCTCAGCCCTCTTGTGGCTGTGTACTTCGAAAAGCCCAGGAGTGAGTATGCAAGCCCAGTTGAACAAACAGATATAAAGATCTAATTGAGCTGGAATCTTTTATTTAGTGCAATGTATTCATAGATGGTAGCGCATCACTCGAATTAGGGCAAACCATAAATTACGTCACATGTCATGATATGTCAAAATTATTTTTCTTATTTATTCAGTGCTCAGTGTGAAATGGAACAGTATATGACGTTACAAATAAGTGGGGCCCCTCTTGCAAACGTAAAAAACTTTAAAATGTGACATAATTTATGGACGATCCCTGACATGCCACCACACAAAGGAATGATATTGAGTCCACCAGAATTTATAAACAAAACAGTGTGGAAAATCACCACATTCTTAATTTAAAAAAAAAACTTTTTTGTCATCAGACTTTTGGTTTTTTAATCCGTATATACTTTCAATGACACCCATCTTTAGACTTGAGCCTATTAACACTACCCTGGGACTTCAAAGTTAAACCTGTCGACAAAAGATAGTCTTAAACCTTAAAACTTGTATCTTTGTTTTGCAGCGGGTGTGCTCATCAACATCGAGTGCAAGGCGTGGGCGAAGAACATCCAGTACGACCGCTATGAGCGGCGTGGCTCGGTCCATTTCGAGCTGATGGTAGACCATTATTAAACACCACGCACTTGCACGCCGCCAATTGGCCGCCATCCACCGCCAATTGGCCCCAAGGTCACCAACTGATCGCCTAAAGATCTCAAGGACGCCATAAACCTCCAATTGGCCGCCAAGTTCATCAACTTACTGCCAAAAGATCGTTAGTTGATCACTAGTCATGCTAATTGGTGGTGCCCGGTCAATACCTGTAATGTTAGTTGTTTTAAGTATTTTAAAGTGAAGGTCATGGTTACCAGTTAGTCGCCAAGGTCGCCAATTGTTCACCAGTGAAGGAGCAAGCTCATCGCCAGGCCGGCTGCCAGCGCCAATAGCAATAGCCACATAGTCGGCAATTAATTTATATTCGTTTTAGAATAAGCCAAAGGGCGCCATTAATTTTACCCTTTGTTTGTCACGCTTCAACTAAAGTTAATGGAAATTTAAAAATTATTGAATATTTATTAATAATTATGTAATGTTTTCTGGACGGAGAGTCAATAAACACGCAATAGTTGGTTCCAATAGGTTTTTAATTGTGTTTCATTTTATTTTACCCTAATTCCTAACTTCCTGTCAAATATAGACACATGCACAGATAATATAAAACCGGTGCTTATCAATTCTTTCTTCTCATATCACGGCCCAACAATCCCTCCTTATACTGGAGGGAGTACTCACAGCCCGGCACGTCAAGAATAGACACATACGAAACTGGTATCGTTTGAAAAGTAGCAACAGCTAAAGTCGAAAACATTTTATTAGATTTTCAAATACGATATCTGCCAGTCAAGCCATCATCATCAACAGCCTTTAATTGTCCACTGCTGGACATAGGCCTCTCCTTAGAAAGGAGGTTTTGGCCTACTATACCACGCTGGCCAGACGGGTTGGTACAGGGTTTGTCAAGTTTTCCTTCTCTTTGCAAAGTCAAGCCATACATCATGCTAAAATCGACTAAAAACTATACTAAAAACTAAATGAGTAGATCACTCTTCAGTGTTGCAATATCAATAATCTTTAACAGTAACTGTTCTACGTTTTACCGTATTTGTGGATACCCAATGAACAAACGGAACCAAACAAAGTTTAGTATGCATTTTTATGATTGGTCACCCATTTTTACGATTACGAAGACTGAAAAAAATACAAGATTTTTAATGCATTCAAATTTAGACAGCCCTGGGTACCACCAACTCAATAATTTCCAATACAACTAACTATTTAAAAACAATTACATTTTTTGTTTCCTTCTACATAAAGTTTTAATTAATGCACAAAACACATTACAATAAATTAAAAGAGAAATCATAAATACATCGTTTAGATCTGGATGAGGTACGTTACGTCATTTGTGCACAAAGAAAAACAATAAAGATTTTACAAAAATTATCTCTGATTCATAATATTGTAAGTAATATAACAATCAGGTGTGTGTTAAGGCACGAGGCAACCCTGTGGGCCACGGCCGGGGTTGCCCAAGTCGTTGAGCGTATCCGGCGGCCAGGTCTCGAGGTGGCTCTGCACAAGTCCGAGGCCCTGTTCTTCCACGGGCTTCGGAGGAAGCCGCCTGAGGGATCTAGCCTCACGGTAGGAGGCACTCGCATCGGCATCAAGCCCTCGATCAGGTATCTGGGGCTCGTATTCGATGGCCGATGGGACTTCGGATATCATTTCCGAGGTCTGGTCCCCAAGTTGGTTGGGGCAGCGCGTGCGTTGGCGCGGCTGCTGCCCAACATGAAGGGACCCGATGACTCCTGCAGGAGACTCTACTCGGGGGTTGTGCGGTCCATGGCCCTTTACGGGTGCCCAGTATGGGCGGGGGCCCTGAAGGCCAGCAACGTCGCGATACTGCGACGACCGCAGCGAGTGCTGGCCATCAGGATCATAAGGGGGTACCGCACGATCTCCTTTGAGGCGGCGAGTCTCCTGGCCGGAACTCCACCGTGGGACCTGGAGGCGAGAGCCCTTGCGGCTCTGTATCAGTGGCGCAAGGAGGCGCGGGAGTTGGGTCGATGCCCCGAGATTCGAGAAATCGATGACCGGAAATCCCAGCTCCGCCAGGTCATCATAGGGGAGTGGAGGGAACGACTCGGGCAACCGAGCGCAGGGCACGCCGTCATCGCGGCGGTAAGACCCGTTATGGAGGATTGGCTCGAGAGGCGTCACGGGACCCTCTCATACCGATTGACGCAGGTGATCACTGGGAAGGGATGTTTCGGGGATCACCTGTGTCTGATCCGCAAGGAGCCAACGCCTGAGTGCCACCACTGCGATGGCCAGACCGTGGACACGGCTCTCCACACGCTGGCAGAGTGCCCGGCGTGGGTTGACCAGAGGCGAGACCTCGTGGCGGCCATCGGAGTGGGAGTTCTCTCGCTCGATAGCCTGATTGCGGCTATCGTGCGGAGCGAGAGTGCGTGGAACTCTGCCGTCTCCTTCTGCGAGCAAGTTATGCTCACGAAGGAGACGGCGGAGCGGGACCGGGAGAGGTTTAGGACTCTCCCGGCCCGCCAGGCCCGGGAACGGGCCAGGTACCGCAGGCGACTCAGGCGCCGGAGGTCGCAGAACGACCTCCGTCCTCCATAAGCGCAGGCCTGGGGGCGACAGGTGAGGCCATCTGTCACCCTAGCAGAAGCAGGCCGGGGTGGCCTCCAGGGAGCACAGGGAACATGGGGTTCCCACACGGGGGGGTCGTCTACTCGTCTGTAGATGACCCGAGGTATGTCGGGGCACCAGGGACTTCCTTTCTAGGGTATACCTGGTTCCCCGGCTATTAGTACCCGAGACGGCGTGCGGTTTTAGTCGGTTCGAGTCCGACATGCCACCGACAGGTGGTATCCGAGGGGATTTCTGCACGGAAAAAAAAAAAAAGGTGTGTGTTAAGGGCGCTACACACGGCTAACATACTATAATATTTTATCTTAAGATACAATATCGCTCGCCATACTATCTCTATTTTACGATACGAAAATATGAAATAAATATTATCTTCGTCGTGTGTAATGGTTCATTGAATAGTATGGCGAGCGATATTGTATCTTAAGATAAAATATTATAGTATCTTAGCCGTGTGTAGCGCCCCTTAGATGTCCAATAAAATTTGTCCATAGCTGTCTTGTTCCTCCTGGAAACAACTGAAATTACTATCTTTGTGTTAAAAAGTCTATATTTACTTTTGAATTGTTCCTGTTTTTTTGTTACTGAGATGTTTATATACACCTATTAATTACTGCGCATTAGTAAATTTCATCATTTAAATGCTTTTAGTGTTTAGTTTACCTGTATATTTATTTTTGTTTAATTTGTATCTGTTTGTTTCCCTAATAAAATAAAATAAATAAGTAAAAAAGTAAGCTATCAGCTAATGTAATGAAAATTTGGATGCTAATCCAAACCCAACTCCCTATGGAGGATGTGTTTCACTAATTTACTATATCTGTTATAGTTATGATCATAAACGTCTAGTAACTTATTGATTTTTGAGATATCATTTTATTGACGGGCCATTCTTGTTAATAGATAACAGGAGGAAATACTATTTTAATATATTTGAAGGGAAAATATTAATAGTATTTTTTTTAAAGACTACTCCCGCACTAGAAATAAATCCTGTGTCGCGGAGGACTTTACAAACATACATGAAACGGACACAAAGGACACCCAGACTCAGAACAATAATTTGTGAATTACACAAAGTGAGGATCGGACCCACTTCACTCAGCGTAGTAGTGAGCGGCGTGGCAACCGCTTAAACCACTACGCTATCCGTGCAGTCGATATGTTAATATCATTAGCCGTACAGTCACTAAATTAAAAATTCAAACTGATTTGAGAAAGTAACTCCGGTTAGTCAATAATATAATGTATAATTTTGTAGAGATAAAACAAATCGAAATAAATGCGTCGGGTTTCTAATGGCTGTAAGTGCCTTATATTTGCTGAGTCTGCTTTCGTAATTTAAATTTGATCGACCGCCGGTCGGTGTATCTCGGTAGTTGAGAATTTTAAGGAATCTTCTCTGAATACTTTCAATGTCATCAATATAGACCATATTCTAATATACTCCTCACCGGGCAAAGTATAGGTACAAAGTACTGCTTTGATTTCCAAAACCTTTCGTTGATCTCAAAACGAAGCTTTGGAGTTGGTTAGCTTTGCATATTGTATTGCCATAATGAGCGCGAAATGAAAGTTTCTCGTCAAAAATGATCCCTAAGTCTTTTACAGTCTGTGTCCGATTTATTATTCGACCATCAATATGCCTCGGTGGTGCAGTGGTAGCGTATGCGACTGCTGTTCTGAGGTCTCGGGTTCGATTCCCGGATCGGACTTAATGTTTGTATGATCTGCAAATATTTGTTTCGGAGTTTGGGTGTTTTTATGTATGCAGTTACAAAAAAAAAGTATATAAGTATTCTATCAGTCAATCTAGTCAGTTTAATAGTAATCTAGTTTCATAGTAAAAGCACCGAAGTACAATAGTAAAATATAAAAAGTACAAATAGTACAAACAAGTCCGAAAGTTTATATATTATAGTAACAAATAAGTTTGCGTGGTGACGGATTAAGAATACAGAGTGTCACCACCCTTATTCATCCCGTGGGTGTCGTAAGAGCCGACTAAGGGAGTAAACTACGCAGGACAGCAGCAATGCAAAGAGAAGGAAAACATGAAACAAACCCTACACCAACCCGTCTGGCCTATGGGCCTGACTATAGTAGGCCAAAACCTGCTTGCTAAGGAGAGCCCTATGTCGAGCAGTGGACTAGTACGGGCTGTTGATGATGATGATAATGAAATAAGTTAATTACGTTTTAGAGTAAACATACACAAACACATATTAACATTAAAGGTCATCAAATTGGCTTTACACCACTCAGATATTGTACTAACATTTAAATCATCAGCATACAACAGGCAGTTACAGGACAAGTTCTGATTTAAATCATTGATAAATACTACGAAAAGCAGAGGTCCTAGATGGGAGCCTTGAGGCATTCCGGATATTACTTCAGTA